TATGACATCAGTGCAGTAGTACTGGTAAATCGGCCATTCAAACTTCAGACTCCGTTTCATAAAAATCCCATTATTTTGATAAGAATATGAGCTGCAGCTGCCTCGTAAACGATAGCACCGGGGGCACGCTGACGGGATCAGTAAGAGCAAATGAGGTTCGCAACAAATTACAAATGTGTTGTGCAGCACAGAGCAGCCACTGCACTTTTTTTACCCCCTCCTTTGCTTCATCTCTTGCCAAACAACAAATTAGCTTCACTTTATCATCAGCTCCGACTCAAACGGCTAACTGCTACGATCAGATCCAGTCCCATTCCACGGTCTCTGATGTTCTTCTTCTCTGTTGAAGCTCCACTCTGCAGTAGTAGTGGCAGCTAATGGCGAAGTTGTCCAAACATATTCACTCAGTATACATGGCTGCTTACTTTGCAATTGTGTCTCATTTCCAGTGGCCTCTTGATAAATGGAAATATTTGGCCGTACATCAAGAAACATAACTTAAAAAATACACATAATGTAAAGTGGATACTGAAAATATGCACTGAACAAAAGTGTTGAAGTATATCTGGTCTGACGCGCTGATTCCACTGATTCCAAAACTCAGAGTCAGACTCAAGGGAATAATCAGAGAACAAACAGACCAGGCAGAGATATACAGTATTTCTCTCAGGGGTTCAACAATACATGTATCTGTATGGAACAGTTCCACACAATGGTGTCAGCTCAGTACGCACTATGAATTGAACTACATGACATTTTATATTCGTTTTTTTTTTTTTTTTTGGTTGTTCTTGGGCTCCCCTATTGGTAAGACATGTTACTGCGTTGACAGATACTGTATATTGTGGCCTTGGCGGATTCATAATTTAATCCGTCCATCCATCCGTCCGTCCATTTGTCAATCCATTCATTCGTCAATCCATCTGTCTGTCCATCCATCCATCCATTCCACCATCCTTCCATTGGTCAATCCATCCATCCGACAAACCATCCATCCCGCCATTAGTCTGTTGGTGAATCCATCCGTCCGTCCATCCATCCATCCATCCCGCCATCTGTCCATTGGTCAATGCATCAATCCATCCATCCATCCATCCATCCATCCATCCATTCTCCACCACTTCTTTGCCAAATAATATTCTTATTAGGAATAAATGATCATATACTGGTCTTAGCTGAACACTGCACCCCTGTGCTGTTGTATTTCCATGTTAATTATACTGCTGGTACTGATTGGTAGTGAAAAATATTTGCAGAAGTGGTACATGTTGTAAACAATTTAAGAACTACTACCTTAGAGGTTGGCGTGTGACAATAACAGATTTTGCTGGGATGATATATATTGTCCCATAAATGAATATATACAGGAACTGGTACTGAAACACAGAGTGAACCCTCTTGATATTGAACGTGTTCGGAGGCGAGGAGACGAGGAAAACAAACAAACAAACACACAAGCATGTAAATAAGAGGCCGGTATATTATTAGTGACTTTATTTTTCATTTATCATTCAATCAATTATTGATTATGGTCCGAGGCCTACTGACAGGTTAACCTCAGATAGTCCTGCTACCCTCCCTGACTCCTCCCAACCTCAACTCCTCTTCTTTAAACATAACAGAAATTCTGAGTCTTTGTGTTGCATTGCCTCTCACCCCTACATAATATTTTCCACTAGTAAATATTTCCACCCAGTAACGTCCTGATTACTGGCAAAAGACAGACAAACACAAAAACATTAAACATCATCCCTGCTGACGAAGACAACACCAGATACTGGCTTGTTTTCCATTCTAAAAAAAATAAGGGGATTTTTTAAAATTCCAGCATACTATAGATTTTTAAATTTATGATCTCATATTGTAAACATTGACAAAAAAGAAGATCCTCTTCATTTACACCACACCAGATGGACGGCAGCTGACATTTCTGAGATTGGAAGCCTACTTGATGCCTTTGGTATTCGCTTCCACGTGAGTATTATTTTCACTGAAAGCGATCCGCCTGCTCTTATTGCTTGTTAAATCAGGTCATGTTTCTGCTGTAAGGTTAAGATCACACAAATGACTGAAAAGGTTATTGCTGGAATGATCTGCCGCTGACTGCGTCGGCCAAACTGCATCACTCGCTGCCAGTTGTGCTGCCTCCAACCTCTCTGGCAGGCCGCGAATTCATCCACAAAACCTGTACAGCGGCTCTGTGTAAGTACAGAAATTTGCATGAAATTTGGCTTTTTGTAGTAATACTGCATCTGTGCCACGGAGACTTCCCTGTTCCAGAAGAGTCAATGAGAGGCCTACACTGTATAAACAATGAGTGCAGCCATTTTAATTTCGCAGGCAATGGATCGGGTTTCTCTGTGTACTCTGATTTAGTTAAAATCCAAAAGGTAATTTGTATAAGGTAACCAAATGCAGTGGAGAGAGACAGACTTCAGGTGTATGTTCATAGGTGAAGGTGAACAATAAGAAAAAGCCTGAGGTCACAAGAATTAAGTGGAAGTGATAAAGTCCTAGTTAAAATGAAATCACTATTCATCCACAGGTGGCGCTCAGGACCTCCTATTATTTCAACCTCAACCTTTTCTCTTTTGAAATGAGTTATTTCCCACCTGAGTGTAAAAACATACACTCGTATTGTTTGGTTATCACCGCCGACACGGCAGCTGTTTTTTCACCGTGGCCAAGCCAAACAGCTGAGGAACCACCGGGCCCAGGTGCACACCAGGAAGTTCCCGACACTAAATTCCACTCTCCTGCTTCCAGCTACAAGGTGCAGACAGAAACGGCGTCTGGTTGTTAGCGATGCAATAACACTGGATTGTTCGCAGGGACCTAATTTTGACTACATTTGACACCATTGAAGCAGATGTAGAAACTCAAGGGGTAATTACTGAACTGGAAGGAATATTCAATAACATTCTCATTTTACGGCAAACGAGGAGCAAAACCAGGAAGTTTGGTAGCAGAAGTTATTTAATGAGGATCGTTTCAGAGTTGGAGGGATGGGAGAGTTGTCTTTACCAAGTCCATCATAGGGTCACATATAAAGACAAACAACTGTTTACACTCACAATGTATCTACATTCCTATTTAGAGGAAAATGCATGATAAAGGACAGAGCGATCATTTCAGTAATCTAAAGGCGGAGGTTGGAGGAAGATTACTATGTAACCACTTTTATTAACTACATCGGCTCGATACAACTTTTTCATGTCGGATACCCATACTGCAACTTGGAGCATCTACCGATACCGCAATCAATCCGATACCTTATTGTTTCCTCCATCATGCCGCCGGCTGCTGTTCCTGTATAAAGCATGTCACACAAAGTTACCATAATTTCTGGACTATAAGCCGCTTTTCCACACGCTTTGAACCCTGCAGCTTAAACAATGATGCTAACTTATGGACACCTGCGGCTTATAGAGAAGTGCGGCCTATATATGTACAATTATATTTTTCATTTTGGGTGGGTGCAGCTCAATAGTTCGGAAATTACAGTAAGTTGAGAATTTCTGTGTATGATCCTAAAATTTTGATCACTATTAGACCAATACCAATCGAGAGCATTGGATCCAGCCCTCCTTACGTTTTCACCACATACAACCTCCAGAAATATTCATCTCTTCAGGTTCTACCAGTGCGACCAACCAGCAGTTTCCGCACTTCTGCCAAGAGCAGTATACGTAGAAGATACTATGAGAGTGCAAACCATATTGTACATACATTTTATTTTACCCCAACCCCTGCCTCGCCCACTTCAGGCTCCACATCTGCTTGTCACATCAATATTCTCCTTGATTTTGAGTTCGTAGCAACTGCAGCAGCTTTCATTTTATTTTCAGACACCATTTTGCCAGTGCAGTTAAAAGAGAATCAAATAGTGCCATGTACATCTAAAGAGAGTACCACTGGAGACAGAGAGAGAGAGAGAGAGAGAGGGAGAGAGTCCCTCAGGTTACCAAGTACCACCAATGATACCTGCTCCATTGATTTCACAATCAATCCAGTTAGTTTTATAGGCCAATGCAAACTCAGGAGACATGTTGGACATTAACTACTTCACGTCACTCGGGAAAGTCTTGCCTGACATGTCAGATGGAGCTCATTAGACAGAAATGTACTTTTACATTTACCTTAACTGTTCTAATTTCAACTAATTTCTTCTTCCTGGGACATGAAGCCCACTGCGGTGTCTGGCTGCAGCATGTCTCCAGGCGATCTCTGCCCAGCCACAACTAAACATCCTTTTTATTGGACAATTTATGGCAGAAAATGAGAATTACACATTAATATAATTTCCTAGCCGATTCTGTCAAAGACAAAAGAGAACAATGCGGTTCCTGTGTGACAGAAAATGACTTCACACAACTGGACGTGGGCTTTAGTCGTTTAATTTATTAAGATGCTACAGAGTCCAACCTAGTTGGGTGATTCTTTTTTTTTTTTATACACCAGAGAGAATACTTGACAAGGAATATTAATCATCTTCTCAGATAGAGTTATTTATTTATTTATATACATAGAAAACAGATTCCCGACTGCTTACAGTGTTCATGGTGATGGACTCCAGGACAAGTCAGTGTAGTGTAGTGTAGTGCAGATCCCACGTGGAGCATCAAAACTGATGACTTTTACTGCTGTGGCAATAAAACCGTAACTTTCTAACAGTGTGGTGTCGGATCTGAAAGTGATTTCCTCGTCTCAGATGTTGTCATTCGAGGATTAACCGTGTGACCCAGGCCAGAAAAAACCAGGGACTGGACTGTAGCTGGGGGATCTGCTTTGTCCTCCCTCTAAGCAGCAAGCCACCCTCGACCCATTGACCTCACAGAGACGCAGTGACACAGCCTGGGTGTTCATATTTAATCTCTCACCCACTGGATTTCTTCGTTACGTGCCGTTGAGTGCAAAGGACAGTGAATTTGGGAAGCCTTTTTTTTTTAATTTCAGTTAAAAAAGTGGAATTGCTGGTTGGGAAGCCTTTTTTTTTTTTAAATTTCAGTTAAAAAAGTGGAATTGCTGCTAGACACGGGTTAAAAAAACAATTAGGCCTTTACAGTCAAATCATTCAAAGAAGAGTGTCACACTCAACTGATTTTATTTCTCTGAATCTGAAGATTTAACAATTTTGGGTGAGTACGTTTGACATAAAAATGACCAGTCGCTCTGGAGCAGTACAATGTCATCATGCCATCACTTTTCACTGACGTAGCTATGGTTTACGCATGTTCTGCTCTCGCACTTGGAGGAAACGATATTGTGAAAAACTCATTAAACCTTAGTGCAGTTACAGAAACCAACACGACTGCAAAAAGCAGAGAGGCGTCAACCGATGAAAACAACCAACCAGAAAAGGCTTTCGGTGGAGTGAAAAAGAAAAGCGGTTAAATACAAGAGCCGGTCAAACACTCATCTCGTCTTTGACATACATTTGCCCTAAATGAAACACAGCTTCCACACATGTATGGCTCAGCTGGAAGATATAACCAAACAACACGGAGCTGGAAATTAACAAAGGTCCCTTTGTGAGCACAGAGTACGTGTACCTGGGACCTGGTGTCGAAAACCCATTCACCTCGACATGCACCGTATGTCCATTTGCACTTCCTTACTAAATGTATACATGCTTTCCATGTGTTTGTGTATATGCCCTAACCCTAAACATGTTCATATACTGTGACATACTGTGTGTGTATGTATGTATTTATATATTGGTCTGAGAATAACTTGCCCGCACAGGTCACAAGACAAGGCTTTCATGTGGAGATTTACAGAAAATGACAAAATCCTACAAATCTCATTTGGTAACTGCGACCATTTGTAGCCCTAATAACAACGACCATGACAATAACAGAAGAACTGACGTGACATAAACAAAACAAAACAGAAAACACGCAAACAAAGGAAGAAGAAAATTAGAAGAATCTAGTTGTGCAAACCTACAGCCAGATGACATAGATATTATCACAATTATAAAAGCATTTAAATTAAATTCAAAAGTTCAGATGCAACACTCTGTGTGAATGCATGCAATCAAACGATCCAATAGTCTCCTCTCACAACGAGGGATGAGCTGGAAAGCTGAGTTAAATAAGAACATGGAGAAGAAATGACCAAAGGTATAGTGTTTGGACTTTCACTGCTTGAGGTTTGCAATGATTTATAGAGGCAAGGCCAGTAACAGTATTTTGTTCATGAGATGTTTTCTAACCCCCCCCCCCCATACATTACCTTTGATTTTTTTTTTTCAAACTTGTAACCCTCCCCATGTCCCCCCACCCGCCCAGACCAGTGAAAGTGGCATTTCCTGAAATCCAAAATCCCAGACCCCCTTGTATTGTTTTCATCCCCTGAAAGCATGCTGCGGCCGACCACGCTGCTCTGCGCTCTACAAGACCAACTTGCCCACGATGAGGCCCATCACAAAGAGGAGCACAATGAGGGCCAGAGAGCGGATGCTTAAGCCTTCCTCTTTCTTTATGCCCATTGCAGCGTGCTGGGACGACATCATGTTACTCTTTCTCATCCGCAAACCGTCGTCCTCCTTCAAGGAGAGAATCAGAGGAAACAATGGAGAAATGATAAAAGAGAGCAATGGAGGGGTGTGAATTGGTGGGAAGATGGAATTAAAAAAAATATATCAGGGGGAGAGGGGGAGAGGAGGGGAGGTCAGTTGGTCAGTCAACATGATACAGCAGGGACTCATTCATTAGTTCAAAAGAAAAGGACTGACTTAAATCTTCATTTGACCTAATCCCCTGAGAAGTGAAGAAGCCGCCAGGTTTTAACACGCATCGCTTCCCAGAACTGGGTGTGGGTTGGGAGGTGGGGGCGGGCACGCTCTCTGTTAGTTTAATCTAAGCCGCAGGGGCAGCCAGCAGTCTTTCTGCCCCTGGCAAGAGCTTAAAGGTCTGTGGTGGTGGCGGTGTCTTAGGGGAGCGAACCTCTTTTCTCGGCTGCGTCTGGCTCATGTACATGTGACTCATTCCCAACCAAAACCTAACAAACCTCAGTTTAAACTCTTTTTTTATATATTGATTGTGTTGAACCCGGTTTCTGCCGCTCATTACAGATATGAGCAGTTTAACTCGGAGCAAATCAAACCGGCTCTGTATCTGTTTAAAGCAAAGATTAAAGAACTAGGTTGGGTCACTTCAGTGAAAATGGTTTACAGTACCAGAGCCACAGACCAATGATCATCTGGACGTTTCATAAAGTTATCCAGAGATCGTCAGGTTTGACATTTTTATTCCAATGTCTTATGTATCTGATTGAGGTTCAGATACTTAGTGGACATACAGTAAGTCAAACACTGGAAAGTTGATTCAGTGAGAATGATAAAATTACTCAGAAAATGTCATTCTTATTTAAAATGTCCCCATTTTGTCAACCAAACGTAAAATCACTGACCCCAGGAAAAACCATCAGAAAATTTGGTTGGTTCTGTCTGGGGTCAGTGATTAATCAAATGACCAAATGTATTAAACAGTTTTTGTTCGCTCAGCTAAGGAGCCTAAGGAGGTGGCGCAGCAGATTATCTGGTTCTATTTGACTCATTTATAGCCTGCTTCTACTACTGCTGACTGTCTTCATACTTCCTACTCTGCTTCTTAGCTCAGGCTCATTAAATCCCTAAATTAAAAGAGTTAGTACAGCACTCACCCGTATCTGTTTGTTTTCTTCTCGTAGCCTCTGGGCCTCCATCTGAAGCCTCTTACACTCCTCCATGATCTTCTTCACCTCCCCGTCGTCCAGGGTGGAGCTCATGGACTTCACAGGCATCGCGGAGTCTGACTTCAGCAAGCTGGACGACATCATCTTGTTGGACTCCATATCGTGCTGTTGGTGGGTTACATGGTAAGGCGTGACGATGGACTTTTGTTGCAGAGAAGTTTCTATGGTAAATTTAAGGGATAACTTGGGAAATACACAGCCTCAGGTTATACTCTTTCAAGTACAGATGTTGTAAAAACACAGAATGAAAAAACACTGTATTAAAGATTTGTGTCAGAGCCCAAAATTAAATTCTGCCCCTTTTCTGAAGGTAACGTTTTTACCTTGTGCAGCCCTAGAAAACTTAGAAAACCAAACACCAAAATCGTTTTAGCATAAGGAAGGCAGGAAGGAAGGAAAGTGAACTCCTTGTCACTGTGACACAGCACACCACTGCACACAACGAAACGTGACCTCTGTTTTTAACCCATCCCCAAAGTGAACAGTGGGCAGCAGTGTGTGGGGACGGTGCCATGCTCAGAGCACCTCAGTGGTAACTTGGCAGCTGGTGGACTCGAACCCTTCCAGACCCAAGTCCGCTTCCTTAACCACTGAGCCACCACTGCCCCTATAATATAATAAACCATAAACATAAAACATCAACTAAATGACATCTTAGCTGCAGAACCATCTCTTAAACCTTCAGTGTCTTCTGGCTCTAAGAAGAAGAGTTTACCCAGAGGTGCTTTTCATAGGAAGATAAAACCAGTTCATGTCAACATTTACTTGGTCTAATGGGTTACCCGGAGCACGGAGACAACGGAGAGTGATGTGTACATGTCACTAAACTATTAATGAATTCACTCGAACCCCCTCCACAGTCCAAGTAGAGGAAGTGTTCAGAGAGGTAGAGTGAGCTACATATCATGAGCAGATCTCAAGGAGTCCCCACAGTAATGCACAATACTATTAACAAAGAAAGAAATGTGCTCAGGAGTTACCTCTAAATAAATGTTATGGCATTAGAGAAGATGAAGCTCGTGGTAAAAGACGGACAAAGTTGGACAAGATGGAGAAGGGGGTGACGAGAGAAAGAACAGACCAGATGAAAAGATTAGGAGAAAAATGGTGGTGTCACCTATCCCTACATAGGGATAGGTGACACCAAGGCAGACCAAAGGTGTGAGGCAGGAAGGAGTGACAATAATAACCAATATTGTTGCTAAAAATGACCCATGCTTCACTGACATTTCACGTCCTGCTCCATGGAAAAATGCAACAAAACTACACTTGAGGAAACTGACAGTCCTCCTTTGAATTCTTTAGTCTGCAAATCTTTATCTTCACCTCCCCGATGGCTCTTTGAAAGTAAACCTGCAGTGATAGCAGAAAACGAACAAAGGGAGATGTGCTCACCGTCTTTTCCATGTCCAAAGGCATCTCGAAAACACATCTCAGCTTGGAGTCCATCAGTTCGTCTGGCTTGGCCTCCTTCCACTGGATTTATTTAATTAGAGCAAAAAACAGGAGATGAACGACAGTTCTAGGAAGGACTCTTCAGATGTTCCAACTATAAACACATCTGGGATTAAACTAATTAGTTTGTCTTTTGGTCTAAATGCGTAAACTAACGTAATTTGTTTTTTACTACACTTTTAGAATACTCTGGATCAGAGTAGTATGAGCTTAACGTTTCGAGACCTGCAGGTGTCACATTTAAACACAGCTGGTTGATTTAGCATTTCTGTAACCAATAAAGAGGAAAAACTCAATCCGCAATAAGACAATAAAGAAGCAGTGTTGCATTGGCTAGTGAGCTGTTATTCATACTGGGTGGCAAAAGCCTGATGTTTGCAAAAAAAAAAATCCTCAGCAGTCCTGTAATCTTTATGGTTAGAATCGCACTCCAAATGGAAATTTCCAATTGGATGTAAATTTCTCTTGGATTTGAGCACTTAACATTAAAACACAAGTGAACAGTGCTGCCTGAACACCTCAAAATATCACTCACTCAACACATTCAGTTTGCAGCAGCTGTGAACGTGATGATTTTCCTGGTTAACCTGCATTTTTGTCATTCTCGTAGACAATTGAGAACATGTCCCATTGGTCTGTGCAGCAGCAGGGCGACTGCAGACACCTCTTCAAGTCAATACTCTAAAATCTATTCAATTTGTGTCACTTGTTCTCTTCTTTTTTGTGAGTAAAAAATCCACGTAGTTGTTACATAGTTAGACTTATGCAACTGTTGGGAAAAAAAACTGAACTGTAACAAGGCCGTTACATGCTTAACTTCAAGTTCTGAACTGTAAGGCCGTTACATGCTTAACTTCAAGTTACTAAAACTGGAACAGAGGGATCTACATATGAAATCGCAAGAGAAGAAATAAATGCAAAATAAGATGAACCAATGCCATGAATATTTAATGTTATTGTTAACTAAAACAAAGAAATCGATAGAGTGCTGTAGAATATTGATACGGTACTGTGAAACCAAATAATGCGTTATATTGGCGTATTGATATTTTCTCAAACCCGTAAACAAACACAACAAGCACATGTACAAGACAATTTTTGTTTGTGTACTGAACATTCTTAAATGAACATGCACCCTTAAGATGTATGCCATGCATGATAGTGCTCATATTCATGTTTGCAAACAATCTGGGGTTAAAGGCTGAAAAAATGGAAAAGGAAAATACGACCACTAGGTGGCTGTCAGGCTACACAAAGGCTGTAAAACAGCTGAAAACCCAATTTTCATAATGAATTAGTACGTGGCCAAAATAAATCTAAAAAAAGTATTTGTAATAATAATACTATTACAGTTGTAATAACAGTAACATGGGACAAATTCAGGCTTCATGCAAAAATGAACTCAAACATATGAGACACTCACCACTCCCTCCATGTCAGTCATGTCAGGAGGTGCTAACATGGACTGAACCATGAACTTGTGTTTGCTCTTCTCATTGGGGTCGTAGTCAAAAGGCTGCAGCATAACTGAAAACAAATTTTAAAAAAATGGAGTATTATAATCTGAAAACATTAGGGGAAAAAAATACCAGTTGGTCTCTGGCTAGAAGACAAGAACACATAGGAGCAGATGAGCTAATCTTGCTACCAACTCTGCATTTCCCTGAGGAGCACAAGGGAGTTGAAACAAAACCTAGCTAGTCTCTTCAATAGGTACAATGTGGAGAACCCCTAACCTTAGCCCTAATTCCCAGGTTCAGAAAGAGTCAGTAATGCTGTGGTGAATGCCCAGGAGTCAGTAAAACGATGACCAACCACAGGGAAAGATCTGAAGAGTTATGTAAAAGGAAGTGACAACAAGCAGATGTTGTGCATCAGCACAGAGTTTGATAAGGACTCAGGGCTTACAGTAACAAGAACTATTTCCCAACCTACTGCCCAGGAAACCCCAACAGAGAATTAGTGTAATGCTAATGTTTCATAATGACATTAGTAAGCATATCAAATTATCTTTTTATTAGTTTCCAATCAGCAGACTGGCTTGAAGCTATTATGTTCATCTCCAAACATAACCCCTGCAGAAGTTATATGTTCTCATCAGCAGTTCTAATCTTCCAGCTTGCCTTTACTTTTTCCTTTGCCCTGGGAATGACTGTGTAGCATAAGTGTTTGTCAAACACATAAAGGCCTCCAGGTTTTGTCCTGCCACTTGGAAAGAAGTGGGTGAAATGATTTATTTCCATGTTACCATGACGGTGAAACACTGACAGATCTACGAATTCCCAAGACGGTAATATCTCCAAGAGCTTCCAAGTCCAACTGGCTTTTTCTTCCTTAACATTACACATCATTTTAACCAAATGCAGGTGCGGAGTTGGAGCTGGAATTGTACTTTAACCCATCACCACATTGGTTCCCCGAGTCTGTGCTGTGTTATTTGATGTCATTCCAATGGCGGAGAAGGTATTTTAAAGCTGCAACAGTGATTCAAATCACTTACATGTGTCAGTGTTCCGGTTATGGTAGTTGGAGGTGTGGAAAAGATGAAAACTATCACTGATGGCTGGAATTTTTGTTCCACTTTTCAAACGCGGTTAAAACTCCAAGGTATACTCTGACATCAGTGTGAACCTCGTCGGCCATGTCTGTGGGATTCGTTGACTTTCTAAAGGAACAAATGACCTCCTAATTTCAAAGCTGCTGCAGCAATTAGGATAGTTTTCATAGATGACAGATGCCAATTGTCCTGAGAGTGAAAAACCTTGGAGATCCAGTTCACCATTACACCAATCAAGGAAGTTGAATATGGCAAAGTAGAAACAGACGGATTGAACAGATTGAGAACGTCCTGTTTGAGTCAGACTCAATTTGTACTGCCATCGACCTTTTGGTCCAAAGGGACAACCGAAGAGGATATGGTCAGAAAAAGTGTTCCTGACAAACAAAGTGAAAAAATATCCATATTTGCAGCCCATCAAAATGCAGTACATTTAAAAATAGTTAATATTAAAATCCTTGCAATAAGCTCGCAGAAAACCAAATGTTAAAACATCCAAAAGAGATGGTAATCCTATGATGGTTTAATGTGAAAAAGTATTATTGGACGAGGTACACAGGGGTGTAAAATATACCCAGACTGTGTGTAAAAAATCTCCTGAATGGAGACTGGAAGTGCTCTGCTGGTTTTGGAAGCAACTCCACATTGATGGAAATCCAATGAGGAAATTAATTAAACAATCAATCAAACATCTGACAGTATAAACAGCAGAGTTCTTTCTTGAGGTTGGAAACGTTTAGATCTGTTTATTTGTCTAGTCCAATCTTGATGTAACTGATCGTTTAATGACCGATGTAACATTGTTAATCTGAGCGGTTAGTACATGACGACTGGTATATTGTTAAGTCTTCCACTTGTTTAGACATGAAAGAACTTGGCCTCCTTCAGGTTAAGAACTATGCTGCAAGGCTCTTAACCAAAACACACAAATGAGCCCAAGAGATGTCAGTTTAAGTTTATCCACTGATTACCAGGGACCGACAAAGTCCAATCAGGAGTGTATCTGTCGAGTAAACTGAAGGAACAGATGAGGACAAGAGCCAATCCCAGCACAATAATAATAATAATAATAATAATAATAATAATAATAATAATAATAATAATAACTGTTGTATGATCAAATTATATGTAAGTATATGGTGAGCGAAAGCGGCTCATTCTGATAACTACAAAGAGGTTGTTGTTTTACTTTCCTGCTCCTGTTGGCATCATCGTACCATCCCAGCATACCAGACAAACTTCTGACAAATTCCCAGAAGAGGCTTAATATTTGTGGAGACAGCTTTTTTTTTTTCAAAAAAAGATTAACTTCACATTTTTCCACTGAATGTTGCTACATAATACCAATCAAACTCAGCAACATTCCTGTGGCTATGGCCGTGCTCAACGTATACTGTTACAGCCTGGTGGAGCTTCAAAAGCACACTCTCCATCCCCAGCTAAGCTGTCGATTGACACCGTTGTGGTTTGTAGGTGTCCTGTGGCAAAAGCTTCACCTTCACTCCAAAGAGAGAGTACGAATATTTGCTTTCGTGCTGCTGTTCACAAAACGGCACGTCGGAATTCAAGTTTCAAAACCTGCTCTTGAACACCTCCTCCTTAAGAATGGTCCGTTGTTGTTTTCAGGATAATTAACTGTAGTACGGAGGCGAGCTGCATTTGTAGAACAGAGAAAGTATTGATTTAGCTTAGAGATTATGAAGCATGAGCTTTGGGAAAGCAGCTGTGAGAAAGAAGCTAATGACGCAAAACTAAACAGCCTAGGATTTTTCTAGCCAAGGACCCCCAAATGAATGAAGAGAGGGAGCAGCGACCCACTACTATATATAGCATAGAAATGTCCTCAACAGGGCAGAGGGTCATCTGTAAATTGACCTTTTTATATTGCATTCAATGCTTATTTACTTGCTCTCAAATAATACTCAGATTCATATCATTTGTTTTTCTATGAAATATGTGCAAAAAATATAACAATATTGTTGTCTGATCAACCCACTGATCAACACTTAAAGAGTACACACAAGGGGTTGCGGACCCTGTGTTGAGTACCTCTGCTTCTGAGGTTATCCTGCAAAAAAATAACAAACAATTTTCTACAGAGAGCTTTAGTGCTGATGGAATGGATGGAGGCGAGCATCTGCTCTGGGGTTAAAGATTAACATACATTCTTATATAGGAAGGGTTTGAGTGAGTGTGACTGTATCTACACAACCAATAAAATCAATGAAGTAAAAAAATGTTCTCGTATAAGTGGAAGAAGCTGGATAAACTAGTTTCCTAGTTTACACTACTGCTTTAAAAGCAGGGAGCAGAGGGTAGTGAGATCAATTCCCAGAGGAACCACACACTAAATAAGGAGTTTCTCAATTGCGGGATCAATGGAGTTTAAATTATTATTAGTGGGTTCCACGGTGTAGCGGTTAGCATGCCTGCCTCCGAAGCAGAGAGCAGAGAGTCTCTGGTTGGATTCTCAGAGGAACCACATACTTGGCGCCTCCTGTTAAAGCAGACCTGCTGTTAACACAGACATTTCCCAAATATGGGATCCATAAAGTTCAAATTATTATTATCAATTTACACCCAATAACGTCGAACCATCAACGGCAGGTATAACTAGGCAAAAAAGTTCGACCTCAGCAATCCATAGAATCAGGGTGTTGCAGTTAATTAGTTATTTATTCTTGTGTGTAAATACAGCAGGACTTGGACTCGTTACCTTTCTGAGCCCAATAAAATAGAAAAATGATGACAACGGAACTGATTTGTCACCGACTGCTGACAGCAGACCCCAATAAGAGAGTTTGCAGTTGCTGACACAAGATAGTGTTGGTCGTAAAATGGGTCTTTGTCTCTTAATGGCAGCCGAGAGAAACAAGACTGGAGATGCACTGTACCAGTCTCCCTCTGAGGGTTCGACTGGGAATGAGACATCAAACTGAATAATAAAAGCCACGACACGGGCCGCAACGGTTTTCTGACTGCCAGGAATCAAGAAGATGGTTCTGGAGGGAAGAAGACACCGGGAACATTTTATAATCAGGGAAAATATTTGCTGGATATGAAAAGAGCAGCCGTGGTGGTTGGTCGTCAACTTTTCAGCTAACATCATTTAAAAAATAATCTCTTGTCTCATTTTTACCCAGTAGATAAATGTATGAACCAGAGTGCAACCGTTCCTCATCATCTCTTTTTTTCCCAGTAGGTACATTTATGAACCAGAGTGCAACCGTTCCTCATTTACTCATTTATTACCTGAGACATTGATTGAAGTGCCAGCATCGATGATGCCACTGTTTGGTCTCACGCAGTATCGGCGTGGTGCCGTCGTCTTCACCTTGAAACACACATTCCTGTCTGTAGGGTTGGAGAGCTTGAGATTTGTGGTGACCACATCTGAGAAAGGACCTGTAAAAAAAAAAACAAGAGAGTTAAGAAATAGTTCATTTGGTCTCATTTTAATTTTATAATGGTAAAAATCAGGAAAACTGCTCCTTAAATTGTCCTAACTTTCAAAAAGATAGAGATTTTACCACGAACAGAGACATTTGAACCCTGCAATAAAAACAAAGTCAGAAAATAAAAAAATAAAATAGAACAGAAATGCTTCTTAATGCATTTATTACGCAGCTAAAAGCACTGGTACATTTCAAACACGTGACACAGTCCGTACATAACTATTTTCCAATGTGGTGGGATAAAAATTTAAAGGACAACAATTTAATTCAATCTATTCCCACAAGTTGGACTTTCTGCCACACAGTTTCCTTATTCGACCTGACATTTAGATAAATGGGTTTGTGCTGTCTGCCAAGGCTGCTGCTGGATTCACTTGAAACTGTCCTGAAGATAAATGTTTCTCAGGCTTGTTTTTATTATAAAGACCTTAAAGGCTGGGTCTTAGTGACACATGGTCAAAAAAACTTCCCGTATTTGAATCTTCTAATCAAATTAGCCAGCTGCTGTTTTTTTTAAATACTTCCAAATTAGTTCATGTGAAAAGGGGTTAGTTTGGGATTAGAAAACCTTCACTCGGAACCTTGAAATGGATGCCCCTCCACTTTAAAAATATAAAACAGATACAAAGTAAGACTAGTAACATATAATTGGTTGCTGAGAAATTATTGCTATGGTTCCTTAAGGAGGAATGGGCCCCTCCTGGGGGTGTGGAGTTATTGCAGGGGGGGTGCAAAGCAGGGCAAATTAGGTTTTTTTTAAAAAATATTTTTTGTGTCAAAATTACTGACTTGTACTTGTATTGTACTTTTGGGTGAGAATGTGTTTGCAGGAATGACAATGTTTTAAATAGATTTCAGTGGAGGTTTTTGTTTTAAATGTGCTTATGTGGGGAGGGTAGGGGGGCTCAGCAATAGTCCTATCTACAAAACGGTAGGTAGGACTAAATGCGTTCATTTCTAACAACCATTAATGTAACTCAAGAAAAAAGGACCAATAAATGCATTAAGGGTTTTCCAAACAAAAGGTAAATGTAGAATCAGAGTTCTCAGTTATCAATATCTTTTAAAATGGTAAGCATCTTTTAAAGCAATATTTTACAGTGTTCAGGTATTAACGTAGGGCACAATGCCATGGGAAACTTGTTCTGTGGTCAGCTGACAGGTGTTAGCTTGTTTTAGTTTGGAATTCTATATGCAAAAGATACATTTGACGAACCAGACTTATCATCTAACTGTGCATAGTTCACTAGCATTTGCGGGAAAATTATTAGAATAATTTCCTCACAAAAGCAGAAATTCAGGACGACTGAATTTACCCTTGAGATAAGTACACTGGCCCTACTTCAGAATTAGCACGTACACCAGACTGAAGATAAGGTTTCAGCCCGACAAATGTCCAGACCAACTGACCCTTTCTCCGTTGAGCAAAAACAGAGAGGAAATTCAGAGGCTCACAAACCTGGCCTTAAATCCAAGGCTTTGATGATACAGACTCTCACCACTAACTACTATACACCTGATCTACTACAGCCTGAAGGTTTTTGGCAAACTGGTCAACTCACAAAGACCACAAATGGCAGAAAAGCTATAGCGTTACACAGGGCTGATATCTGTAGGTTTGAAGAAACGTTTATAGAGGTGCAGGTGTGAAAACCTTTAGTTAGTTATAATCACAGACTCGTGTATAAAAACCTTCTGAGCGTATTGAGCCGCTGATGTTTTCAATCAAGGTTTTAACAAGTTGGACAACACAGGGACGGGTGAGTGTGAGTCAGTAGAAACAGGACTTGATGTATTTCAAGTTCAACTGGTACAGAGTCACATGTCTGGACGAATAAGAGTTAATTAAATATTTAATGTTCAAACACTGCTGGTGTTTGTTTTGTACTCGGGTCTGACGTTTGATGACCAGTATGTCTTCACCCGACATCAAAAGAATGCACCATCAACATTCCCGTCATTTCAAATGATTCACATTTTATGCTAAGGCTTTTCAACGTGTGAGACAGGCATCCTCTAGGGGGCAGGATTTTGTTTTGCTTCTTGCAGTCGTGTTTCTGGTGTATGTCATCATAGAGGTAATTGGTGTTTTAACTAAGAGTATTTAAAAACTAAAAGTTCACAACTGAAACAAATGTGTAGTATTGTAAAAATTAAAAGTGAACCTCTGTTTGGACTCTATAATGTCAGTCAGTTTTAATGTGGGGAGTGGTGCTTGAAATATGAAATAATAAAAGAACGATAATTAATTCCAATCAGGATAACAATGAATATGCAGAGCCTTGATGTGACGTAATGAGCCGATGATTACAGCATTAGTCATTAGTTGGTCATTACTTCCATTTTTAATTTGTCTTTGGACTCTGACACCGTCACGCTAACACTGAGACATAATATTTTTCGTCTCTTTTGCTACTGCTGTGGGGTACTATGATACTTTCACAGTTACAGTATATATGGGCACAGTTAAGAAATATTTTTGGTAAGGTCACATTCATTTTACATTGTGCAATTACATTTGCGGTATAAGCCTAAGCTTGACGTGATGCATGCGTTAGTCCCCGTAGACGAACACAGACCTCAAGCTGTTCCATATTTAAATTACGCTGGAAGCTTTGCCTGCAATGACAACAAAGCCATCTATATCTCAATGTCTATCTCATTAAAAAGCAGACTTCCTGTACACCATTTTTGATATATATTCCTCATCATTTGACTACTTTATTGCCACGTATTGGTTTTACTTTTACAATGATTTATATTTTAACCTAGAAAAGTCCCATGTGTACAAAAAGGGAGCAGAGGCAGGTGGCATCCCTGCATACAAAATGCTTCCTGTTGCCCATTTCACATCACAAAGGGAAACATTTTTATATTATTTTATGGTGTTTGTGGTCAATTCCTACATACTTCACACATTTGAGGGAGACTTTTTAAAGAACAAATAACAATTTCATGAGTCTATTCTTCAAACGAACAACGCTGTCTTGAGACACAGCTAAAATCTAGGGGGGTAATTATCAAACTGTGTCTCTTTGTCTGTAATATAACACAGAATGTACACAGTAGTTGCTGACGGTTTTATGTAATATTATTTAGGCCTGAAGCAACGTGACACCTTGCAACCAAATACTCAAACGCCCGGTCAGGCCATACGATAAGGAAAGTGACATGTTGGTGACCTGAAGCTAACACACAAAATAGCAGTAGAGGTTGCAAAGTGATCGGCTGTCAAGTTATAAGATTACAGTGAGCTGTCCAACAGAGCAGAAAAGAGCTGACAGCTAGCTTAACATGCTAAAGACGTAGCACCAGCTGTGGTGCAACAAAATAAATATCAGAATATGATAATAGTTTTAGTTGGATACGTTTACTGATATTTCTCAATGGACATACTTTCGGTTTATTTACGCTTACAGCCAGCATGAAGACTCAGTGTAAATGCATGACAAGGCCCGGCTAGTTTAGCCGTCAGAGGCTAATTGAGTTAGCTGTCTGTCAGTTGACCTGTCGTCCTCTTCCAGCAGCCACGTTGGTTTTAATAGAAGGGTAATAAAACTACTGCAGCTTCTCCTCGCTTTGGTTACCACAACACTGGCGTGTCCCCCTCCGCCCCTGCGTCTGGCAGAAGCGCCCCCTCCCTCCTAACCCTCTTTCCAAAGCAGGGGGCCCTCCCCTCTCTTACCTCTGAATTTCAGTTCGTGTTGAGGCTCCAAGAGCAGAACCTGTTCCGGCCTGGCCATGTCCCAACAGCTGGAGCGAGGTTAATGCGCTGCTACCAGTTCTCGTCGGTCAACCCCGCGTCAGGACAGTGATGGGTCTGTTGGTTTATCAATGAATAAGTGGCGGAAGACGCTGTGCCTGTGCTGTCACTGGTGCTAGTCGGGCTGCTAACGGCTGTTCTGTTGCAGCAGGAAGGGAGTGAGAGACCGTGCGATGACGTCACTACCTCTGCAGAGACGGATGAGGGAGGGGGGGGTTTACGACAAAGACTGATTGAGGTTAGGTGATGGGTGGGAGGAAGCAATAACATTTATGATTAATTGTTAATTAATCATAAATGTTCAGAATATCATTGCAAGTGCAATGCAACATGAACCACTTCATTTAATTAGAAAATATCTAATTGCAGTCTTTTAGTTGATTTTTTTTAAAATAAGATCATTATCACAGCAATAGAATTAAATTATGAAACTAAGATGTGCATAATTATAAAATAATATCCAGCAAAGTGTGCCTGTGTAACAAAATAAATATAGCATAGAAACATATGGAAAAATGACATCACTGACAATCATTTTCCACATGGTCCTTTTACAGAACTGTTATGATAATATAATTGCAGTGGAGTAGTCTAGTTTACTACCACCTCATAAAGTGACTTGACTTGTTTTGTATCTACAAAGAAAACTATATAAATATGTAGTACAAAAAGGACAAAAATGATCTCTCACGGCAAGAATACAAATTCATTGCATTTTTTTTGTTGCATAAATAAAGCATTTGTTGACATATTGTATTTCTGGCATCATTTATTGATTCTGTTTTGTCTGTGGTACAATTTTGTGAATTCACTTGATACAGTTGCAGTACTTAGTATTGTCACTGTTGCAGTATTTGCAGCACACCAGGTTCTTCTTTTGTGATATTTAAGCTCCAGTGTAAGGCCCTCCTCCAGTCTGTTTGACTGATCTCAAGTGTCCAGACGTTACAAATATAGCCCAGTAGCTGGCTGTTGACAAAAACACACAACCAGTCACTCACAGCATTGTCACTATACCCCAACAGACTGTACATAAGCTATACTTGGACAAAGGATATTACACAACGGCACAGACACATAAACTAGAGAAAGTTTCTCTTGTTTTGGTCAAATTTTTATTAGTAAACAATTGACAATTCCCTTTTTTCACACTTGGAAATACACTGCAGTCATGTTTTCTGGTATTCTGTTACAATCATTATGGAATATAATAAAAAGCTGAACACATCTCTGGCAGTATTGTTGAAAATGGTGAACATATCAACTGTGGTCACAAAACATAAGCATGTATTTTTTTTTTCTAATTGCGCAATTCGACGGTATTTATCTAAATGAACAGACAGTAATCCGCTGGTCTCAGGTCCAGCCCCAGACTCAACGGTGATTTCCAAAGCAACACAGACAAACACTATTCATGCTTCTGCATAAAAGAAAACTGGTCATAGTTATCAAACATTTTATAAGCATTTATTTAACATAAAAAAAGGATGAAGTGGTTTCATATATGGCAACCACTGTCATCCTTATAGAAATAAACTAAATAAAATAATATTAATAGATATTGTCAAACATCCTGGTAATTGTTTCATAAAGAGATTTTACAAAAAGAATAAGTGCCAATTAACAGAATGACTATGAAGAGTCAAAAGTGCAGTAATTCCCTTTTACATATGACTGCTGTATTTTCAAAATAAGACTCTGTAGGAACATTTGACAGCAGTTGAATAGATTTCAAACGTAGGTTCCATTCTTGGCTTTGCGAGATTTCGTTGACCCCGCTTACATGTCTAAAACATTAGCTACAAATGTAGGTCAACTTGAACCTGTCATTGTTCAGCTCCACAGAACATCTCCTGAAAATAGGCAGCACTGCCAGGCACAGAACTCATATCACTTGGTGGCAGCTGCAGTAAAGATGTTTACAGGCAAAAAGTTCCACGAGCTTATAAAAAAAAGCACATGATTTATATTTATAAATTTGCACATGTTGAATAATTACAACCACATCTGTTTTTTTGGCAAGTTTTAAAAAAGACTCTGAGGCCCTGGAGATCATGACATGCATGAATTATATCAAATTAATACGTCAGTCTGGGCTCATGCATCTACAATAACGTAGGTTCTAATGAGCCGGTATCAAAGAGCCACGAGATAAATGTGACACATCATCATAATTATGGATAAATAAGTTGTTCTGAAACGCAGCAAAGAGATGACAGGACTTGGTGAAATCATGTAGAGCTCTCTCTGACGTGACTCGGATGTGGTGACACAATAGGAGAGAATTAAGAACTGAATTAATCAGAGTGGAAACTTGGGTTTGTTCAAAGGTCACTGTGTCAACAGTGTCAGATTCTTTACCCGTCACTTTATACTGAAACAAAAATGTAAAGTCTTTATTACGAGTTTATTCTAGCTTCCACTACTGGAAGCCAGTTAATCCAGTATGTCCTTTGACAGATGTGGATCAGTAAGGATAGTAGGGGCCGTGAGGTAGGGAGTGCACATGTTTTTAAAAGTAACACTCAAAGAATTTGACCGTGACTCTAACCCAGGCATGGACAAACTAAGGCCCGGGGGCCGGATGCGGCCTGTTCAGCTTTTTAATCCGGCCCACCAAACTTGTCCAAATTATATAATTTATTTATATTATCATTATACTTCTGCCTTTTCCCTGCCATACCCACATTTCCCCAATAGATGGCGTAGAAAATGATAAAAGCAGTTTAGCACCTTATGCATGACTTTTACATATCATTTACTCCCCCCCCAATTTAAGGACAATTGTGGCCCGCAAGTCGAAATGTTGTTTGCCCACATCTGCCTTAACCTAACAAACATCAAACAAACATCAAACTGCAAGAATAACTTCACCTCAAACTCAACAATCTTCTCACCTACTGGGCTCTACGTTCATTATTTTAGTAATTCCATCAAGACGACACTAAGATTATATTTCTGTATAATCCATTCGATTTTAAAGTGCCAGGCATGCCTCCCGTAGGGGGCGGCAAAGCACTTACGAGGAGGCACAAAACAAGTAAAAAGAAACACAGAAGTGGGGCAACATCAAAACTCGCCAACTTATATAAGAAGGAAAGGATACATTTCACAGTGAGAAAAGAGAATAAGAGAAGAAGAGTGATGGTGACTATTCCACGGATGTCATTTTGTTAATGTCTGCAACTTGAGGCTGTTTTAAAGGTTTGCGTTTCTCCATTAGTTTGTGTGTAAATGTGCAGTGTGTGGGCTTTTGGGGGTAAGGGTCGGGGGGTCTGCGTTTAAAAAAAACCCAAGATAAATGATTGTCAATAAGGATGAATCCTTCAAAATGTGCAGTAACTCTGGGGAATTCCCTTACCCCATCTAAAAAAAACAGCAATGGTAATAACTTAAGAATGAAGTTTCACTTAACGTTACTTTAAGATCTTTACAAATTTACATGGCACACAAACAAAGCTCCTCTGATCAACATGGAACTCCATGCAGAGGTTTATGTCTATAATGTTCACCTCATCAAACATTTCCTGTCTGAGCTCTGGACAGGTCTCCTGCAGCCTCCAGACGACAATAATGGTGGGGCTTCAGGACACAGAGAGCCCTTGAATGAGTCAGATCCAGACAAGGGGGTCGAGCGATGATCAGGTCATAGGTCAAGTGCGGACAGTCACCGTCATCATCAGCAGCACACCCTGCGAGACTCCGAGGGCTGACGCCCGAGTTTGAACGCTTTTCCTGAAGCTGCTCCTGCTGTGTCGACAACAGGAATGCGTCTACCTGTAAAACACACACACACACACACACATTAATATTCACTTCACATCCATCAGGTCAGCAGCTAAGTTTAACTTTAAGACTTAATGTGAGGTTCAGAATGTTTAGGCGACAGTTCTGTTAAAAGCCCAACAAACTCACTCACTTATTTCTATAAACACCTCGTTGATGTTAATGGCGTTCTTGGCACTGGTTTCTACAAAGATGGCATGAATGGAGTCGGCGTAGTCCTTGGCATCTTTTTCTAGCACTTCCCTGCAAATTAGGAGGAGAAAATTGTTGTACCACAAATACTATGTGCACAGGTGTACAACTTTCATGCATTTACGTGAAAGTAATCGGACACCGTTTCTTGTCAATCACCTAGCATCAGACAGATCACATTTGTTCCCAGCGATGGCGACCACTATGTTGGGAGGACCGTGTTGCCTCAGCTCCTTCACCCAGTTCTTCAGAGTTTGAAATGTATCCTGGAGATAAAAGTTAGCAACGTGCAAAAGAAAAGAAAGAAATGTCATTTCAGCAGCATAATCAGCGCTAAAAACAGACAATCAACAACACAGTGGAGAAGTAACGGAATAACACGTCTCATGCTGCTAATACACTTGATGAATCACATGTTTTATACAAAAACCCTACCTCTTTTGTGATGTCATAAACAATGATTGCTGCTGCAGAACCTCTGTAGTACATCGGTGCCAGAGCACGAAACTGTGGAGAGGGAAAGACGGGAAAATGTCAAAACATACAGGTGTTAAAGTGTGCCCTCTGTTGGACAGAAGGAGCACTGCATTTAAACCAATAAAATAATATTCGTGTACAGTTTTGGAATTGTGTGAAGCAGGTAGTGGATGACAAAAAAATTACCTAAACAGTGGTTCTCAACTAAGGGGAGCAATACTACTAATGGTACTTGGTCTCCCTCTAGTGGTACTTAGGAGAATTTTAATTATGCGGTGCATTGCCTAGGTAAAGCTATACAACAGTGGTTCTCAAAATAAGGTACCATACCACTGATGGTACTTGGAGACACAAATATTTTCAGAGATGGTAGGCGATTTGTTTCCATTTTATTCTAAAAATTAAGAGAAAAACATCATTCATTTAGAGAAAGTGAAGTTTACATGGAAAAAAAACAGCAAAAAATCTCAGTGCTAGTTCATAAAAGACAGCAGGCAGTTTTAGCTAAAATCGGTTGATTTTCTTTTTCCACCAAGACCTCACACATGTGGGAGCCATCAAGAGAAAGATGAGCAGAATGTGTCAAACGCTGTTAAGTGTTCTGATATTTATGGGAGACCATACATTTGATCTCAGGCCAAGGCATCACAAAGCTCTGCCTAATCAAAGCAACATGTGTGATTTACAAAACTATAGCTGCCTGGAAATCCGTGGTTACTTTGACAGGTTTTGGTATTTTTCTGGTCACAGGCTTTCCAGTGATTTAACCGTTTGGCTAATGCCATGGGAAAGAACAAAATGTTACACAAAACAACAGAGCCCGTATCTGAGGAGCCAAAATATATTCTGTCAGTAGCATTTAAGGGAACTGTGACAGTGGTTAGAAAATATTATAGAAAACTAAATTTCCTTTGACAAAATAAACTGTAACTAAAAGTAACTTACATATAATTGTATGCCTAAAAATATCTTGGTTTTCCCCACTCATACAGTATTTCAAACTATATGAACATTTTTAACATTAACTGTTAAAACAAACTTTTCACTTTGTAACTCGTTGACAAGCAGAGCGGATGAATGATTCATCGATCCGCTCTATACACAGAAGACGCTTTTGTTGACATTCGCCGGTCGTACGCCACACACTGGATTGTGCTACATTCACTTTATATAGTTACAAGTTCAAATTAGGGATGTCCAATAATATCGACCGACTGATATTAATCGGGCCAATATTAGCGTAATTGTGTAATATCTGTAAGAATCTTTATCAGTTTTTCCTCCGATAATTAAAACCTGATAACGCAGTGCCTGGGTTTCTCCCAGATGATGTGACCTAAACACATTTTGGAAGTGAACGTGAATTATTGTCATGGTGTCACAGAACACCACTGCACATAATGAGATGTGTCCTCTGCCTTTCACCCAAACGACTGTGTATATCAGTATCAGTTGATATCAAATTTAAGTGTTTGGACAATATCGGACATCCTTGGTTGGAGGTACAGAAGTTTGGATCGTATTAAACATGTGAATAACAGCTAAAAGTTAATATCAGAAGTTTGGATCGTATTAAACATGTGTAAAATAAAAAGCAAACCAAAACTTTTTCTTATTGAATATATATTGCACATTGCGCTAATATAAGACAGTGAGTGTTTAATCCTGTAACTTAAATAACTGCTATTTATCTAATGCCCTGACTGAGGTTTTTCCAGCCCTTCCTGTTAATCCAATTCCCCATAAATATGTTGGAATAATTACTCCATCCTGAAGCAACACTTGTAGCTCTGTAGGAAAAGCACACATTCTGAATAATTATAGTTGTTATTGGCCGGGAATCCACCAACAATTATCCAAGTTGGGATTTCTGGCAAGGCCCCTACAAGGGTGTGCTCTCTTTTTTATTGGCTAGCATCGGACTACATCACCACCACTGGTCCTGTGTGGTCTACGTGTGCATTAAACAAAAGTGCAAACCCTACACAGAGAGCCAGACGTCTAACCACAGTCGATTAATAATGGATACCGCAAAATGTGTGCATTAGGCATATATTGTACCATTTTCATTGGGACTCGCACTCTCTCTGCTTGTTTTTAGTGAGCAGGCATAGTGAGTAAGGCAGGCCTGAAATGGTTGTCGACAGCTCAGCTCAAATATTCTCCAAAGTTGTCGTGCGGTTTTGAGATATGGATTGTACAGAGTAGAAATCTCAAAGCTTTTCCTCACTGCCCTGGTCTCCACTTACATGTGAATTGGCAGGATATGTGTTCGCTCTACTCAAGTCAACAGATTTTGATAGGCCAACGTTTCACAAAGGTAAAAATACATGGATGGGTTTGAAATAGCCCAGCGACTCTGAGGGGCACGTGCACGTCTGAGGGTGCGCGCTCTATTCCAGACATGTGCAAACCTACCAAAGGAATGTGGCAACTTTAGCACTCACAGATGTGAACTTCTGCAAAGCCTGATAGATCAGATTATAGCTTTAATATATAAAACAAGTACAGAGAGTTGAAATCGGGATTTTTCTAGGAATAAAACAAGTACAGGGAGTTGAAATCGACCCAAAAGAGTGGCACTTAATTGTGTAAAAGTAATCTTATGATGAAGAAGGAAATTGACTGTACAAAAACAATGAAGATTCTGATGCAGTGAGTTACAGAATCGGTAAGTTATGGCAGTGAAAATATCTTAGCAAGGGAATGTGCATGAGGAAAAAGGGAAGAGCAAATACAAAAAGGAAGTGATAGAGTCAGAGTCTAAGTCAAAGGAGAAAGTGGTTTCTTGTGCAGAAGTAAAATACAAACGAGACTGGGACTCCTTCATAATTCCTTTATATTTGAATGGGCCATAAATAATAATAAAAAAAAAACCAACAACAAATGAGTTGCTATCGATATCTGAAAACACAGCAGCCAACACTATTTCAATGGTTTTTGGATATGTGGGGGCAAAAGCTGCAGGTAAATGTTGCCCTCTATCAGAAGTAGTGAAGAAGTGCACTGTTAAAGTTCTCTCTGGCTGGAAGCTTAACACAAGAAACATCTTCTTTTTCTCTTTACAGCCAGTGAGTAAAGTTGGAAACATGTCATGAATAGGATTACTGACCCGCTCCTGTCCTGCTGTGTCCCAGATCAGAAACTTGTGGAGTTCATTTTGGTATTGCACTGTCTTGGTCATAAAAGACGCCCTGAAGAGAAGTGGATTCATTAAGACAAATAATAGAGATAAATAACTACATATACACTAAATTGTAAAAACAAAAAAAAAAACAAAAACAAAAATCAACAAACAGCACAACAGATTTAAAGGAAATAGCAATAATAACAATTGGTATGACTAGTTACATACCCAATAGTAGGGTTAATATTTGGGTCAAAGCTGTCCTCCACAAATCTCCACACAATACTCGACTTCCCAACACCAGTGTCCTGCAGAAACAAAATAAGGTTGAAACTGACCAAAACAGAAACATAAAGCTGATCCGATTATGTCTGTTTCTGGACTGTGGGAAGAAAACTGGAGTATCTAGAGAACCCACACACACCCACATACACACAAACACCTACAAACACCTACAGGCCTACATGTAAACTCCACTCAGAAAGAATGGGTAAGTAAGGTGGTGAAATTAGCATGATCCCATGGAATTCCTTTGAGCCAAAGCCTATAAATACCTGTGGTCACTGTGGGATCATTGAAACCAAAGAGTAGATGTGGATTAAACTGATTGAAATCCTGCTTATGTGTGGGTTTAAAAGAACTTGTTGGTAGACTGAAGGCCTGAAATTTCAAATAAAAACTGTCTAATTGCAGGGGAGGTCGGGTCAGGGGCAGTGGCATTAGTAGCCTTGTCCACCTAAATAATTATAAATAAACATAAAGTGTAGTAGTCCGTTTGCTTTATATTAAATCGGTTTTGACCTAATTAATTTGTACTGAAATAAAGTACACACTCGAGTCTGTCGGCTCTGACAGTGTTTGCACAATATCATAGCACATGAATTTTCGAAAATTGACAGACCCCATCATTTCGCTCTGCACATGTCCTCGCACAGAGCAAGACTGAACAGAAAAAAGTCTATTCAAGATGGACTAGTAAATCGTCCAGTCAACTGGGAGATTACAGCCCTAGTTATTACATTAGCAACAGAACTCATTTGCATAAATACTTGAGGTGTGACGTGTCTAGGCAGTCTCTTCTCACTGCAGTGTCACTGTTGCTGCCTTTATTTTGGTCCTCTACCATTTAATTATTTTCTGGGTCACGGGCTCTGACGTTTATAGGGTGAGGGCATGGTACAGCCTGTTCAGTCTAACATAGGGCCATGAATGGAGACAACTAACATTCACATTTCTTACTATGCTCAATCTTGTCTGAGCCATCAGCTCTTCCATTCTATAATAATCTTCTGAATTAATAATGAATGTTAGTATAGGTTGGTTTTTTTCTAACCATTTGTTACTTATTACAGTTGTACAAAACAGCATGTGGTACATTCCCTTTGTCATTTCAAAACGAGTAAGAATGATCTATTTGGAACTCTAACTGCGGTTTATCATCGTACCGCACCGTGGTCACAAAACCGAGGCATATCAATTAGACATTTCTTACCGTTAGACCCTTATGATGAAATCGATGTAAACAAACGAGCTTGTTGACAGACTCGTAGTGATTCCAGTACACACATATTTATAGGAAGTAAACACGTGACAACAAAACGATGACAAGAATAATAACTTACCCCTAAAAGACAAACTTTCAACTCCCTTAGTGCCATATCGAGTTCTTCCTGTCTGTCTGTCGGTTTGTTTTGATGATTACCATGAGCAGCTGATATTTCTTACTTTTTATCTTCGATAGTGTTCGTGTGGCCGGTATTTTCTAGCAGTTTAACCTCATCCTGGTCATATTTTGTCTCATAAGTGCCTGCGGTTTAGTCGCATTCGCCACATTGTGACTTAAAGTAAACAAGCTAACTGGCTACAACTACGAAGCTTCCGAATCGGACCGTCTCCATCTTGAATTGTGGTGTCACGTGACTGTTCGGCGTGTGCGCGTGCTGTTGAAAGGCGTGCGCGTTCGTGTGGGCAAGAGAGATGGACACGGCCTAAGAGTGGCCGATATGCGAAAACTCAAGAAGCTATTAAAATGTTTATTTACAATAAATTTACAATATTCACAAATTCATTAAAAGTGATTCAATCTGATACATTTTAAATTCCAAGTTAAAATGATTGTTTCTTTATAGATCCTTCTATGTAACTACGTATACTGAACATAGATTTATTAGATATTTACTTTCAAAATGACATTGTGAGCCTGCTTTGGAATTTTGGCAGAATTCTTTGCCTTTTATGACTTCATGATAAACTGCACAAGTCGCAGTTGTTTGCTTGAGTATATAAACAATGTTGGTGTAAACATGGTTTTATTACCACAGAAAAGGACAATGTCTCTGCATTATTCCTCCTGCGATTTGTCTGCCCCAACAACAGCTCTCAGTCAAGAGTTTATAAAGCATCATATTAAAAAATGGAACTAATCAGTGGCCAACAAATGACAACACAAGAAACAGCTTTATTTTCTTAATTTTAATTACAGAATACTAAAAATAACATTACATAAAATGTCTTTTTAAAAGAAACCATCAAATATTACAAAGGCTGTAAAGTTTGTAAAGTTAGGATAGAAAAATCTTTGAACAGTGGTGCATAATTGAAAAAGAAAAATAATTTTCATAAAATGTATATATTAACTGTTTTACTACATTAAAAAATGAGATGGACACAAAATGCAGACAGATGAGATGAGCAGACACTGCCATTACCGCAGTGATCTCTCCTATTGTAGGAAGAAAGACTCCAGATGCACAGCACACAGCAAAGTTCGTTCCCAAGTTTTTTAAAAAAATGTAGAGGGCATATCATTTACAGAGGGGGAAAAAAGAAAAAAAGAAAAAAAAAAGGACTAAAAAAAGTGACTTGGTGACTGCTCCCAGTATTCACACATCTCAGAGGGATAAAAACCTAAACTGGCCTTGGTTCCATAAACACACACCACTTTCCACAGGTTTAAACTGTACAAAGAGTAGCAAAACGTTGAGAGAACCCATACTTTTAAAATCATTCCATCAAGACGGAATGAATCACACCTTCTCGTTCAGGCTCCTAATACAGCTGCTCCTAAAACCTACTGTACAACTGGTCAATCAGTTTCACTGAAATCTATCATGGTCACATAGTTCATACCTCGAGGTCAACCATTTGAGTTGGAATAGACTGTACAAAGAGTAGGATGGGGGGGCGGGCCAGGGTTAAAGCATGCATGAATAATCAAACAGTGCACTCGCCTTCAAACTCTTCTCCAAAACTGACCTCAACATGTGGCGCATTAATGACAGCCCTTGTAGAGAAGTTGGAGTTGACGCAACAGAACTGGTTAAAACATTTTTTTAACCCATTTATCGAAGGACATTCAGGATCAGTGAGAACCACACACCTCTATATAACACACTGGCCAGTCAAGTTCAAACAGAGGTAATCAATTGTCTCCTGATGCTTGGGGGTAAGGTTGTGTGCCATTCTTGTTACATCAGACTTTTTTGGGTTGGGAGGGGCAGGGGGGGTGAAGAGGTCAACAGCTTGTTGTTTGGAAAAAGGTCTGAGAAACACACTGAGGAAAATTCACTGTTCCATCTATGCAGCTGTAGTGGTTTCACTGGCCCAAGGAGACCAGGTAGTGAAATAAAAGTCGAAAGGAGGAAATTGGAAAACAATCCAGATAACAATTCACGAAATTAAGGTTGTCTTAGACAAAAGACATATGTCAGGAAATGAGGCTAAAATACAACAGCAGAGCTACTTAGTTTGACTGGTCTGTCCCCTGAGTTAGTGCACACGTCAGAGTCTGGCAGGCCTCACCTGCATGTTCATTAAGAAATTCACAAGAACAAGCAATGAGGGATAATCATAGAAAAACAAATCAAGCAAATTTCTCTCAAGCTTAACGTTAGCTCCGAAAAAAAAATCAGTTTAGTTTAACAAATCAAATAACTGGGGAGTGAGTAATTTCTGTTAGTGTAGAAGGTGAGAAAAAGGATAAATTCAGGTGAAAATGCGGCCGCTCCTATGAAACGAGGAGGGGCCGTCTTCTTGAGTCCTGCTCATTTCCTGAAAACACTGAGAGGTTTGGACTGTGGTATAAAAGTAAGATGTGCTATAAAAGGTCCAACCACAGACAGTTGAGCTGTGTTTGTTTGAACATGCTCACACTCTACACTTTAATCTGAAAAGGTGTCAGGATTCAAGTGGCGGCTGGTGCAGGTCTGTCCAGCAGGCGAGTGGTCGGTCATCTGGTCAGGTGCTGGTGTTGCTGGTTGTGCTGACTGTGCATCAGTCAGACAGACAGGTAGATAGACAGGCAGATGAGCTGTAAACTGGACATTTACACTGAGGCTAGGTCAGAGAAGCCGTGTCCAACAAGCCTTTGCTGGGGTCCAGGCTGGCAAAGAAGCGGACATCACGATCCTTGTCTGACTGTAATGCCATCACAGTCTCTTCCAGCTCATCAGAGTAGGCACAGCCCTGTTCCTTAAAGTAAGCTGTAAACCAAGAAAAAAAAACACACAGCTCAAACTTCAGTCTTAATAAATATCTGACAAACATCACACACGTCATTGTGATCATTTAATTATATAGACATGTAACATTTGCACATCACATCATAGCTACTGAGCCAGACTTCACCTTTCTCCATGACACTTTGACGTAGAGCCTTAGCCACCAGTACACGGACATTAGCCACTGGGTCATGTGAGAGACTGAGGAGGCTGGGTAGGAGGTGCTGGCTGAACTGCTCCATGGGCATACATTCCTCTTCCACTATGGCCTAAAATATCAGAAAAAAATTAAATGGATCAAACACATTGCTGGGTCAGTGATACTTTTGCAGTGTGCCACAAGAACCAGCGTCCCAGTTTTGCAGTGTGCCACAAGAACCAGCGTAGAGTGGCGCTTTTGTGCAGAAAAGCTTGATTATTAGCATTTATTTTTAAAAAAAATCCTTGTAAAGCTGCTGTAACGTTGCATTAAGTTTCTCTTAAAAAAATTCCAATATTGAAATAAATATATTTTTAGTTTTTAGACACATTTTTTCTTATCTAATGGTATTATGTGACCACATTTACATCAGCCATTAGTTAGTTTTTTTTTTACTTCCTCACATGTTAGGTCTATTCAGCATCATGTGCTTATCCTTAAGCACATGATGCTCACTGGGCCTCAGAGTAATCAGCCTTGACTTACATTATTCCAACTTAACCTAATACAAACCTATTCAAGGTCTTTATGAAATAAACATGAAGGTGAAAGGACATTAATTAGACAGTTACACAGCAAAGGTGAAAAGAAGGCAGATTCAACACGTCAGCTGTTGTGTCATTGTTCTATGGATTATAATAATGTTAACATCACAGACCTGACAGATGAAGGCGAAAGCCTGCCTCCCAACCCATTTGGGACAGTGGCAGAACCTGACGGTGAGTTCGTTGATAAAGTTGAGGCCTAGCTCATCAGCACCACATGCATACAGCTTCTGCAGGATCTCTACAACCTATAAACCGTATCACAGCAGAATAAAGGTTTAAAGGCTTTAGAAAGAAATGTTATGGTGTTTATTCCAGGTTTTTGTATTGACTTTTACTTAAACAAGAAACTAGACAACAATGATGAAGAATGAATAAACAAATGATGAAGTTTTCATTATATGTTCTGTTTTGTGCTAGACTTTTACATGCAACGATTCAACTCTAGAGAATTCCTACATTTCCAGAATGTGCAGAAAGTACATTTTGTACATTAAGGAAAACAATACAAGACTGCAACTACAAGATGATCCATTTGTTTAACAAAACATTAACCACAAGAGCTGAAATCTGCCAGAGCATTACTTCATTCCATTACAATTCATCCAGATCATCTTCCATCTGTGTGACTCATTTCCTTTTTGTCTACAGTTTCCTATTGTTTTGATGACAACCATCTGGCACAAGCTGGCAGCATTATTTTATTACTTTAAATCAGATGTTCCCTAAACCAGCAAAATCTGGAATAAGCTTACCAGTTTATATGAGATCCACCTGACCTCCGAGACTTTATCAGAGCAGAGTGTGAGGGCTATCTGTCTGAGGTAGTCATACACATCGTAGTGGCTGTACAACTCAATGATTAAGATCAGCTGCCTGGAGGGAGGCATGGACAGAAGGCACAAGTTAGACTAACTTTCTTTACAAAAACAGCCTGTCAATAAGAGCATTAACACTTGAACTTTAGCCGTTTAAAAAAAAAAACACAGCATAAATATATCTCAATATATAGACAAATATAGCTTTTTTAACGTTTTTCTGTAGATCAGCAAAAAAAAAAAAACAAACAAACAAAAAAAAAACAACCATACTCTGCCAGTTCATATCTGAATCTCCAGTTGCGGTTGTTGTCTGTCACCATGAACTCCTGCAGCTGGTACAGATACTCCCTCCTCTTGTCTGCGTGCAGCAACTACAAAAATAAATACAAAAGCAAATTTACAAATTTAGTCCTATAACCGGATAAAGACACTAACTTGAAAATATGCATAATGTGATGAAAAATGTTCTTTAATCCTTTCTGTGCCATAGACAGCTTTGAAATCCATTCGTTTTTATTCTCAAACAGAAAAGAAGATTTATTACCTTGAGGAAGTCGTACAGGTGTTTGAGCACGCCGATTCGAACTTCATCCAGGTCTTTAAGGAAACCATTGAAAATGGGTACAAGATCTGCTGCTGTCAGCTGGTCTCCTAGAATCACTGCCAGCTCATGAATGGAGAACGCTAAGGTACGCCGCACCTTCCACTTGAAGGAGAGAAACACAAAGATGGTTACATTTTTTCTATAATATTGTTATTCTTAATATTATTCTTTGCTAATCAAACAATATTGGAAGAGTACTGGAACAAGAGTGTACACCTCCACTTTTCATACATAACAGAACAAACCTACACACCCTGGATTATATTAATCTTGACACATGACCTTTGTTCTCCTCTTTTCTGTTGAAACCAAACAATACACCTTCTATTCGATATGAGTATAGTCTTTTTTCCCATGTGCAGTTTTCATTAAATGTTACATTAATTTATTTCAATACCATAGACATTGCAAATCAAACACTAAACAAAAGGATGGTGGACATGTTAAAATGAGACAACATTTAATTTAAAAGTTGGACTTTTTTCCCTAATAAACTGCCAGAACAGTGCCCTTCCTTTGATTGTGCAGTGGAAGTGGTTGTCTCAGTGTGACTCAGTGTCATTACTATGTCGCTGTTGTTAGGCAATTGTTCACTTTGAATACTTCCAATTCCTGCTCATATCCTGAATGAAAGCACTTACACCACAAACGAAACCTAAGCCCCAACTAATTATAATGCACATTAGATACAATGCGGAGTTCTAACGCAACAGCTGTGAATGTGTTCAAGTGAGGTGCAGGGGGGGTCAACAACAGTACAATTTTCAAAAGCGGGGACACTGCAGAAAAATGTAGGGAACCCACTGCTCTCTATTAACACTTAACTAGGGAACTGAATAAATATATCAGTTTATATTTTATTCCTGATTTTTTTTTTACTTTACCTGTACATCTGTAGCGAGGGTTTCATATGTGTCTTTGAGGCAGTGCCAGTTCTGTCGCCCCAAAGTAAGAGCGACTCCAGGCAAACTGAAGGCACAGTGTTTGGCTATCTCTGTATCAACTGTCTGGGCCCGGGCCGGGTCTGTCATAGAGAGGTATTGATCCAAGAGTTGCTGTGGGATAACATTCTGAAGAGACACAATAAGAGGTAGATGAGACTGATGAGGAAAGAGCTACAAGGAAACTGGAAGACAGGCCTTTTATTATCAAGTAATCAAAACAAACAGCAGATCAATACAAAATAAGACGCCTTTACTGACCTGGACCTTAGGCCTATCGTCTGACATTGGGCTGAAATCTGAGTCATCTTTTCCTTCTTCCTCCACACACTCAATCAGTTCAGAATCCTGGAAAAGACAAATATTCAGTAACATATAGTCATGAAGCCAAACAAATAACTTTAACTTGTTCTGACTATATACAGGCTACTTCTATTGCTGTTTCTGAACATTTCTGAGCAATTCAGATCAAAATGGGAAAGAATTCCACCCACAAAGATTATTGTCCTCAGTCCCTAAATGGTTATTAGCAGTTTTTATGAAAAGTTATTTATTAATAGTGAATGTTTACAAGAAAAACTACAAGGTCTTATGAATCAGTTTGAACACTGAATATACTGCCTGGTCTCTTACTAGAATTGGTGAGTTAGGAGGAGAGTCCTCCTGGTCCTCATGATCCTCCTGGGGCTCTGTTTGTGTCTCTTCGTCTCCTTGCTCTTGGAAAGTGCTGGGCTCTACGGTTGGTGGACACTCCATCATTGGTTCTTCTTCTGCGGGGATCTCCTCGCTCTCGGGCTGAAATTCCGCAGGTTCATTCCCCTCAGGCAAGTCTTCAGTGCAACTGTCTGCATTCTCTTCTGTAGGGGTTGTCCGACTGTTGTCTGTGGTGCTGTGGTCCGTTAGGCTATTATCTGTAGGGCCGCTGTCTGTAGAACTGCTGTCTGTGGGACTGTTATCCTCAGGGCTTTTGTCCGCAGGACTGACGTCTTCAGGGCTGTCATCTGCTAGACTGTCGTCTGTAGGGCTGTCGTCTGTAGGGCTGTCGTCTGTAGGGCTGTCGTCTGCTGGACTGTCGTCTGCTGGACTGTCGTCTGCTGGACTGTCGTCTGTTGGACTGTCTAGCTGGGCTGCCTTCAGAGCTGCTGACAACACCTGGTATTGGGCTAGAAGCAAATTACAGATAATGTAATTTAATCCATGTGCATACAGTTATATACAATAATTAAACAACTACCAGTCAGATGATGATGATGATGATGATGATAGACAATCACCCTGTACATCAGGATCATCAATGTGTGGCTGCAAACAGTCTAAAACTTTCTGTATCTGGTCGCTGGTAGATTTGCTGCGACTAGACTTGGAGTCAGGACAGTTATCCTCAGCTTGGTGTTTCTCTGTCTTTTCCTCCTGCTTTGTCACTTCCTCTGATGTTTGACAACTTAGCATCTCCAGCTCACCGCTGATGTCTGGTAATGGAGACCTCCAGTAGTGGAAAGAGTTAAAGTTTTCATCGGTCTGCTCCATCTCTTTTGTGCTCGTAGCAGCGTTTGCAGCATTGTTTAAAATAAGTTGGGAGAAACTTTCCTCCATCTCTCTGGACATGGTGTGGTTGTCATCGGGGTTGTGCGGGTCCTCATTGTCAGCTGTTAACACGTGCTCTGGCGATGGCGTTGCACGCCCGTCCTGGTTGGGAGGTGTGTGAACAATGGTTCTTTCTGTGAGGCAGCTACTGATACCAGGGCAGTTCAAAGAGTTTAAGGAGCAGTCACTGGAAAGGGGAAAAAAACAAAAACACTTCACCAAATCTATACAATCCTGTACATACAATACAAAAAAATGTTAAGCAACATACAACTAATAATATTTGTATGTTGCTTAGTATTAGATAAGATCTTCCAGGCAACTCATGAAACTGGTCTGTCCTGATTAAGCCTGATGAATAATGCACACAGTGAGTCATTTGAACAGTGACGCAATAACGCCTCAGTATTGGCAAGGATTTTGGACTTGTCTTTACTCCTACGCTGTCACTCATCTAATCGTGAAGTCTGAATTAGACAACGTGTTGTTCACATTAATTGAACTGAAACATTGTTGAAACGGTGAACTTACCTTTCTGACATCGTTTTGGGGACCTCTAGTAAAGCTCCATCCTCTCTGAAATGAAGGCCTGCGCTGGAAGGGTTAGCAAAAGTGGAGATAAATCGTCCTAGAGACTGAAAGGCAGCCTGACGAACCTGTAAGAGTAACACCAAAAAAAAAAGTTTAGTTTCACCTCAAAGAAACATATTGTAAGTAATAGTAATCTTAGTCAGCACAACTCATGAGAATCTAATGTTTCAAAGTAACTCAAAGATAATTGAGCTGTCAGTGATTTTGGTTAAGAGTTATTCTGAAATTTTGCATGCTTTGTTTATTGCTGGCGATGCAAGTGATTAGGAATGTAGCGTTGCGAGTAGTTTGCTTTAACAGCTTTAATAAAGCATTAAAAATGTAAAGTTGAATTGTCATCAAAGGATGCAACTTGAAATCAGGGACACAGAACATGGGCATGAAACTTTCTGAAGCAACAACAGCTAATTTTAGTAGAAGAGGAAGTTACATACAGTATATACTGTACATGGTGGTTATTTTGTGCAACTTGAAGTCATTCTTTTTCTGATTCTTACAATATCTATCTGCATCTTACCCAGCGTGACTGGTCACTAATGAGGCTGATGAACAAGGGCGACAGCTTTGCACGTCGCACCTCTGAGGAGGTGGAGTTAGAGACCATCATGAAGCACTCAGCACAGGCTTTTCTGATGCCCCACAGACTGTCAGAGCACAGGTCAAAGAACTTGGGCATCTGCAACAGAACCCAAGACAGTCAATCACTGAACTGTAATGAACTAATCATACTCAGCTTTGCAGACTGAAGTGTTTAATATCTATATTACTACTTTACTGATTTACCAATAGTCTCTCTGTAGCTTCTTGACCTACAATGGAACAGAACTCTCCAAAATTTGCTGCACAGACCTAGGACACAAACAAAGACGAAGAAGTTAAACTACAATGAAAAAAAAAATCTAAAAAAATCCCATATGAAGATGAAGATATATATATAAGTGCTGGTAAGCATCACGTTGCAATAATATATTAGTAAAACGCAATCTCCCCAACTGAACCTTGTCTCAATATAGAACCAGCATTCTTATGAAACAACTGAGCAGAAATGAAGGCAAAACAGAATTATGGCAATGTCAGGCCAAACAAAAACATGAGGGTTAAGCTGTGGCTACCCCAGCTGAAACAACAGGATATAACCTGTGTATCACAGTCACATAATGTCTTTTGGTCAAACAGAGACATGGTATAAAGGATGTTACCTTGCGCACTTGAAAGAGTCTGGCGTCACTGCACAAGTCACAAAAACGTGGCAATAGTAGATGTTCCACTGTGTCTTTGCTCAACATGGTCACAACTTTACACATGATCTGCAAAAAGTGGTGGAGAAACACCATGTCATCACAGCTGAAGATTTCACAGAGAAAGAGAAAAAAATAGAAAACCCAACTGAACTTGATGAAATAAATTGATAATATTTTTGATAAAAATAAATCTTTAAATAAATTCTTAAATTAAGCAGTTTTTAATTCTACTCCAACACTAACATAAAACACAAGAGAAAAGGAAATCACAGATGAACAGGCGTCACTTATTTCTAACAATGTATTAGGTAGTCAGAATTAACAGGTTTATTGAACATACTCTAGCTTATAATTCTAAACTTTAAAAGTAAGTGGATTTTCTTACAGCAACTGCCTCTATTTTGTAGTCATCGTCACTGCTGGGTTCTGTCAGGTCCAAAAGAACTGGACACACTTTGGTCTCCATGTCACCTTTAGAGATGAGGCCCTGTTCCAACAGAACAAGCAGTGCTGCTTGACTTGTTTTCCGCACCTAGCACAAATTAAAAACAAGGGTTTTAAAAAAAGGTGTTCCAGCTTTATTTATCAAACTGGTCAATTTAAGAACCTACCTGGTTATTGGGATCAGTGAGGTAACCCACCACAATTGGTACTAAGTATCTTGAGAAAGCAGCAGGGAAATTGGGCCGACTCTCATGTAAAAACATGGCAATGTTGGGAACCTGCTCCATCAGCTCAGCTCGCACTGTGGGCTCTAAGCATAAACATCACATTATACAGATGAACAATAAATACATTGTTTGTGGATTGAAATGCCAAAAAGTACTTAGTATATACAATTGAATTTGTAAAAGAATTTGTGCTGATGATAAAGCGTAAAGTTTGCACCACATGCGGTAATAAACAGGAAAATGTATGCACCTCCATCTTCTGACATTCTGGCAACTGTCTCCATGACACTGATGAAATCATTTTCATTGTCACTGAACTCCCGCAGCACATCGAGCAGGCCACGTGCCACGATTTGCCTAAAAAGCACCAAGAGTTTCAGGTTATTGTACCACGTGCCACCAGCTGCTTCTGAAAAGCACTGCACAGACAGAACTGTTACATACTTCACACACGAAGTTTAAAATAGGAAGATTGCTTTAACACAGTAGCTACACATATTTTTAAAGGACAAGAGCAGTATCACATGTCTGAGAGCTATTACTACACAACATTTGAGGGACTGATGCTTTATACTTTTAGTGGACAACAAAGCAGTGCCCTAAAATAAGCAATTTACTACACACACATTTTTAGTCACTTTAATGTTCAACCTGGCACCAATTTGAACAAGTGACTTTATTGTGTGACAATGGGTTTCATTGGCATTTGGTGCAAGAGAAAGCTATTAGAAGACAGCTGAGCAATAAATGCCATGGCTGACTTAATAGCACCAGTTGCTAATGTAGCTCGTAAATGTTGAAACGTGGTGCCTATCATGTTCCCAGTCGAGGGTAAACTTAATGTTTCAACAACAACTCCAACAAACAGAGTACGGACACTGACCGAGGTCACCAAGCGATAAAAACCCTCATAGTCAGTGTTTGCTGTTTTATTTTCTAAAATATCCTTTAATCATCACTTAAGAAAAACTAAGTCATTTTAGTTATATCAGAACTTTACTAAAAGCAAACATTCATTATAAACACTTGTGTATATGTATATGTCAGAATATTTCTAAGCAACTGCCAGCTTGTGCATATTCATCCCAGCTTGTTTTGGTCTGTGGCTTGGCAGGACAAACATAATCTGGCCCTTGTAAAAGAACTAATTGAGGACACCTGGTGTGGTGCAAGGGCTCAAATGTGAGAGTTGTTTTGCACTTGCCGGTGCAGGAATAATTGCATAATTAGATCTTATTGGGCCAAAATTCACATTTTTTTACCAGCATCCTGAGCACAGAAAAACAACATAGACAGAGCAAATATACAGCATTTTCATTGAAGCCTGTGTTGTACAAGTTTGTGTGTGTATATGTGTAGATAGCAGTATATAGAGAAAACAAAGTTCCTGCAAGACATGCTGCTTGGTAACAAACACTTGAATGTTATCTACCAGCTCAGTATTTGCATTGTATAATAAAGGTTTTTGTAACCTTGGTGTGAAACTAAATTTCATGTGCAATTTTGGATGTTTTTAAGTAGTAATTAAGCAAGGAATTTCACTTACCTGTTAAAAACATTTTCACTGAAGGCGTACTTTTCTAGCCTCCCAAGGGGGGTGAGGTTGTCTTGTCCTGCATCCAGGAAAGCTGTGATACGAATACTATCACAATCTGAACCATAGTCATCGAATCCAACTGTATGAGAGGAAAAAACATTTTATATTCACGTGACAACAAAAAAAAATAAATGTTACAATTACATTGAGTACAATTGTAAACTAAATCATATCAAAAGAATGAAGATAATTACAGTGCCATATTGATTGACCTGGAATAGAAAGAAGGATATTAAGAATCCCCATGAGATGAATTAAGTAGGTAGAATAGAGAATAAAGAAATTTCCTTTTATACCTTCATCCATAATAACATACTGGCTGATAGGTCTGATTAAAACACTGTTTCATCATCTCCATGGCTAACACTGACAGGGATTTATGGTCTGGATAACTGCTAATAATAGCATGGCATAAACCTTGAAATTGTGTTGACAGCTTTAAATTTCACAGGGCTGAATGGGCTTGCTTGAAACACAAGACACTTCCATATCACACATACTTTCCCAAATGTAGAAAAAGCACAGCACAGTTTCAATAACACGTGGTGAATTCCATATTTAAAAATTGGTAATGTTTATAAAACTTTTGTAGGAAAAGGACAATAAATGATACTTACAGTCATCCAAATCATCATGGCCATCTTCAAAGTATAAAGATAGACCTGCGAAGGTTAGACAGTTTAAACGGGCAGAACTTCCATGGTTGCAAACTAAACATCAAACAATCACAGTCTCTACACAATGATGTGATGCTGAAAACAAGAGACAAAGACTTCTTTAGCAAACCATTTGGTCACTGAATAACAGCTGTAAAATGTAAACTCGGTGTATTCACATGACATTAACAGATCAATGTGTTTGAAAACAAATCAGTTAGGTACAGTACGGCTTCCTTGAATCCCAAAACGTAGACAATAATTATGAAGAACTCCACAAGTTACAAAATGCTGAATTGTAAGGCAAAACAAAAAACAAAACAGATACACAAAGCCAATGGAATACATTCTGTATCATTTAAAATATGAACTAATACAAACACTATCATGCAAACCACAAACCAGTATTTTAATCAATACATAATGTCAGTAAAAATGCATTTAAATTTAAGAATCTCACAAAAATTATTACCAATTTGGGTTCTGAGAAGAGAGAACATGACCTTGACCCGATCCATATATCCAATCAATACATTTATTAGTACGGGTTATTTCTTTAACTTTACTTTAACTCTTGTATTGACGTATTGTTTACCACCACCGGCAGCAATAATTTCTGTCTTTAGCCATTAGTCTTGTCTTCAGAACTTTACTCAAAAAAATGTTTTACGTATTGTTGTTTAAGATATACTATCAACCGGTATATCAACTAAATGTGACAGCTCACATGTTTAAAGCAAATTCTGAAACAAGAAAACTTAATGTAATGTTCATTAAAAACTGAACTAAAAGGTATAGCGTTTAATATTCCGTTTTAAATTTAGTTGCCAAATGGAACAGAACCGGGTTCTCCTAAGGTTCAATTATAAACACTGTGTAGCAATAATGATGCGCAACAACCAAACTTTGTTTTCTATTTTTTTTTACGACATTTGCGATATACTCAACACAAGACATCGAAAGTTAATACGTAGAACAGTAAACTGATAAATGTCACAACAAAACGTGGTGGGACGGTAAACATCTGTGTTTACAAGCGTTGGAATGTACTGCGCCGATTTAAATTAAGTCGTATGTTGATATAATACACTAAACGTAATACTTTATTGGTGTATTTAATGGCATTGAAAGAGGTTCTCACGGTTACAGTTAACGTCAGATTGATAAAGCACAACACCTCGCCTTTGTTGGTCATAAAGGAGGATTTGCTGCAGCTTATGGCCGAAAATGACTTTAGCAACTTGGCTAAAGTTAGCTTGGTCAATTCGCCAGTATTTCGATTAAAATATCCGATAATAAACACATCCCAGATGCCCCCTTCGCTTTCAAAAGTTTGGAATACATGTCAATCAAGCACAACTATGCTAATTTGCGAGCTATCTGTCATAAATGTGGTTTATTGTTATCATTTTCACACCGCTGGTAGCTAAGCTAGTTAGCGGTGCTAAGTTTGCTAACACTACTTGTCCAGCCCTTTTCCTTGACTTGGAAATAACCCTGCGCCAAGAGGGAACACAAAACTATCCAAGCACAGACCTCTGGTGTAACGCTGTACACTTTATGCGGTGTAACTTAGTATATAAAAAGTCTACTCTGTAGCTTCTCTATACTGAACAAAACAAAAATTTTAAAAGTAGTATTACCTGCCATCTTGAGTCTCGCCTCGGCTATGCGGGGCCGCCGTCCCGGTGTGGGCTGTCACCAGCGCACAGCTGTCACTCATACACAAACTACTTCCTGAGAACACTTCCTGGGGCTGATATTACGCCAACAGTTTCCCCTTATGAAATGTTTTAACGAGAAGAAAACTGATTTCCACCTTCAATACGTAATCACAGGCTTAGTCTTAACCGGAACCCGTTAATACAATATTCTCATTCAGCTACAATTCCAACCTTAATTTTAACCTTAGGCAGCGCGTTAAAAAAAATACAGTTTACGTACAAGATTGGGTTCTCATAAAAGACATTGATTGATTTACCAAGTTCTGCCTGGTAAGAATTGTTGGTTGCACAGCGTCGGGAACGCGCACAGCTAAAGCGGAAGTCGGTTTTGGAATCGCTGAGATTTGCGTCTTCGTTTGGGCTGCGCGCGTTTCGACATCGTCAGGTGCGCGCAATTCTCGCAAAGTGGGTCTAATATCGAAAATCGCCCCAAACAATAACTAGGTACAGACCAAAGGCCAATACGTTAACTTCAGGTTTACGTTCATTTTCTCCTTTGCATCAGACATAAGTTGGTTAAAAATTCCTCAGTTGATCAAAAGCGAAAAAGCTTAAAGTATAATGATGAAGATAATAAAGTTCCTGAAATCGTCCTTTATCTTTCTTGGAGGGAAAACTCTTATTGTTTCAACATCAAATTACGTGATTGTAAATTAAAGGCACACAACATCTTCAATATTCAGCGACAGCTCTCGGTCACACAGAAAATTTTATCAGAAATTACATTATTGAACACCTAATGGAAGTTCTTAACGTCACAAGACACTCCTGGGTGAAAGTGGAAAGAAATTAAGGTAAATTAGAATAAAATACAAAATATAAATACGTTTATAAATAAAAATAAATGATAAATGACACTGTACAATAGTACAGTGTCATTTATTCAGAACAATAGAAGCTTCAAAATAATTAGTTAGATGCATCATTGAATACACAGTATACATGAGATATTGTAAAAGTTTGGATATTACAATTTACTGTTTAATAGTTTTATTGCAACTGGCAGGAAGGATATCCTGTGTTTCTCTATAGTGTAAAGTGTAATTTTATATGTATATGTATATGTATCCTGCCTGGCCCTCAGGCTGCTGCCCCAGCAGACCAAGGCATACATGATGGTTATTGGCACAGTTATTTTCTGTCATGCCCCGCCTTGGGGATAGAAATGTTTTCACGCAGCCGCGAACTGAAATACTATTGAGAACCTGATGTGAAAGTAATCTAGTGGGGCTTTTACTGTATACTGCACAACCCACAAAACCTACACAGTTTGTACTTGTGAATCAACATCCAATCAAACAGTTTTGGGATTTCTAAAACCAGAGATTTTCAACAGTGGCTATGTTTAATGATCATTTTAATTATATATATAATTATGTTGAAACATACAATAATCAACATACCAAAAATAAAAAAAACCCCTCAACTTAAATGAGCAAAGATAAAAAAGAATCACGCAGAAAACATTATTGGGTCATATTTTGTCCACAGCATCGTTTGTGCTGTTATCTTCACTGAGTCACTGATTCTGAGCCTGGTCTCTTCTTGAACAGCAGCAGTTTCCTGTCCCACACTGTGCTGCCGTAGCTCTGGATCAACTCCATGCCACACTGTTTCTCTAAGTGTTCCTTTGCATGTGCTGCCACATCTCCCCGAATCTTCAGGGTCTTAAAGATATCAAAGTCTGAGCGTCCGATCTTTCTGAGCCGCCGCGCGGCTGAACGGTAACATTTCCAGGGCTGAGCTTCTAGCAGTAGATGACTGCTGATGGAGGCCAGACAGGAGAGAAGCTCCAACAGGCCGGAGTCTCCGTGGTTCAGATGGACCCACATTGTGACAGCCAAACAAAGAGTCAAGTGGAAGTTGGAACAACCGTGCTGGTGGAGGTAGCTCTGCAGTGGCTCACTATCTGCAGTGATGTCCAGAGGGATGAAGGAGATTCTGCTGGGCAGAGGGTTTGTCTGCAGAGCTCGCTGAATCAGAGCTTCATCCAGGTCGAAGCCCAGGAGATGAACCTTGTTCCCCGTACGCTCTTCTTCGTGCACCACATGTTTATAAAAGGCTACACTCAGGTCCTGTTATTAAGAGAGAAATACATACAGTAAGTCTGGCCATCATGGGATTTATGTATTTATTCTAGTGAAAGGAATGTTAAAGTCACATTATCCTTAGGTTAAAGTAATATCTTTATACAAAAGTAATTTATAAATAGAATCCTTTTAATTACAGCACCTATAGAGATATGTATTTTGTTAGCCATTTATACAGGATATAAATGAGTAAGGTAATATTTTTTATAATTAAATTTGACATTTATCTGTAAAACAAAAATAAACAAAAACACACTGTGTTTAAATCTGTCATTATGTAAAAATATGCCTTTATATGGAACATATTTATATGGTCTAATATATAAGAAAATACTGTATTTTATGAATAAACGGTGAATGAAAGGTTGAAAAGTTTTATTCAAACTCTCCCCGATTGTCGTACCCCAGAATTGCAGCCCACATCCAGGATGAGTGTGCTCTGTTGGTCTCGGCTGAATCCTAAATCTTGTAGGAGAGAAGCTGGGATCAGACTCAGGCGGTTCTCTGGTGGATTGAATGTGTAATAATTTATAAAGTTTCCAAACGGAGCAGCTCCCGGATCAAATGCTTCATCACCTTCTTTAACTTCATTCACGTTATTTCCTTCAACCACACAGTCGCTACATGTTGCCATTGTAACGTGTACGTCTCTGAAATAATTCCGTGTGGGAACACAATGCCTTGGCCGAGATGCCTTTCGCTTTTAATGTTGATTTTCCGTCATATTTTTTAAAATCAAATTCTCACATCATAAACACTAGTTTCACGTCAAAAATTAGAATGACCTGAGACACACGCGGATTTTTTTTAAAACAACCTCACAGTTTCGTATGAAAATAATACAGAACGAGCCCATTTGGGCTATATTTAATATATTTTATTTCTCATTCGATAGTTATCATTGAAACAAACATAAAACTAGTATGCCAATAGTTTACATTTTTGATTGTGTTCAATAAACGTCTGAAAATTATGACCTCTCAGTTTTATAAACATTTAAAAAAGAAATGCTTTTAAAATTTCAGGCATATATATATATATATTTAAATGTTAAAGAAAACATAGTTTTGCTCATTCAGTTTATTTAAGTTAAGAGGTGTAATAGTTAGGTACTGTACAAAAGTTTCTTTATCCCCACTGGTCAGTAGATGGCGCTCAACGGCTCGTCCTTTAGTTTTTTGAAGAGGACAAATGTTCCCTTGGAGCTTCCGTACTGAAAAAGCGCAGTTTCGTTAGCTTGAATGCTAATTTCACATGTTACTTCCCTGACATTGAGGTCTGCAGCGAGAACCTGTGTTTGTATTTACTCCTCGAATAAAGGTAATTTCAATTTCCTTATTGTCGCAAGATGCTGTGGTGATTTTAGGTAGGAAGAAATGGTCCCATTTAACGACAGAACGTTGTGACTTTCGCAATGTCGACACATCGGAGAATTATACAAACTTAGACCCGATAGATTTAGTTGTGTTTTATTCAACACAAATGTTGCTTGTATTTTTTAAATTAAAATTCAGTCAAATCATCCACTACACAAAACAGGTAATGTCACTAGGAAGAAAAATAGAAAAGGATGTGTTTTGATCCTGTATGTCATTAAATGTACACTGATCAGAAGGATTCTGTGACGTTGACAGTGCAGAGGGAAATCTGGATATTCTTCGTGTTTTATTGATCTTATTCTTTATTTGATTTATTGTCTTTTAAACAGTGATAACTCGTTCGTCAAACAAATAATCAGCCACTTTACTAGTGCCGTGGATTTTTGATGAAACACTTACAGCTGAAGTGTAATTTTAGTGTTTAAACTGTATGAAACTATCAAGTAGACAATATGTCCAAAAAAAAGCTAAGGAAGCAATGTCGCTTCTAACTGATTCGGATGAATTTGATTTGTTTTGACATGTTTTCATTCCTATAAGCACGTTTTCCAATTTAACATGAATAACTGACGCCAAATTCTACACTTTTGGTTTTCTGGCGGAAGCAAAAATATTTAAGTTTTAGGTGTAAACACACTGGTGAAAGTTTTTTCAGCGTCCTGCATTACATGTTCGAATTCTTTTTAATCAACCATAGCAATTTAGGCACATCCAGAAAAACAATAATAAATTGGCCTTTTGTATGTATATTTATCTGAACAGTTATATTTAAGTCAAGGCTAATTCCTAAGTTTGACCTCCTTACTTTTATCAACTGCTGATGTTACTCTTCTTCTCCAGGATCTCCATCATGGTGACCGGCAAGCGTCTGGCTGACATTGGCTACCGGGCCTTTTCGGGCTCCATGATGCTGCTGACGTTATACGGAGGATTCCTGTGCACCTTGAGAGCGTACAACTTTTTCCAGAAACAGAAGCATCTGAAGGTGGCAGCAGAAAACCAGAATCCTGATTTGGTCAAAGACTGACGTCACATGGACTTAAACACCCTTTTGTTTTGCACAAAGGTGGACATTTTCTCCATTTCCCTTTCCTGCATCCCTAAACTGGGAAGATTTGTATGAGAATATGTGTCGACTTCATGGAAAGGATTTTGTGTCTTTGCGTCAAATATGTTTTCTTTAAGAAAACCACCTGAAATAATAATATGAACCAAAAATAAAAATGTATCAAATCTGTGTAATGATAAGCACTGATTGAGAAGCTGGCTGTAATTGCTTGTTTATATTAAATGCACTTATGAGGCAAAATATCGGTGTTTGTAGAGAGTAAAAGATCTGGAGAGAATTTCTTTTCCAACCACAGAATATATTTCTAACATTATTTTTTGTTTTTACAAGGCACTCATGTGAGAACATTTACAGTGCTTCTCATACCTGGATTCAATATAGAATGACATCAAACAATTTCAGAAACATTTGGTCTCAGAAAAGTAAAAAAGAACAAACAGTAAACAGAAAACAAACACAGCGTCACAGAGTAGGAAAACTGAGTGATAAAAGGGTAAATTCACTAAAACCACAAAAGGCTGGAAACAGCTACTGCCTTCACTCTCATGTAGGATGAACCTCTGAACACAAGAAACTGAAACACGCAGATTTTTCGTTCTGAAAAAATAGGAATTGCAATAAACTCGGGAAGTTTAAATCCGCATCAGCTGACGTTCACCTTCCTGTGTTTTCCAGTGTAAATTAACTTTTAGCAACAAGAGAAAAAAAGTTCATCAGACCAATAAAACTCGGAGAGAACGATTAAACTGACCAACATCTGCATCTACAAACTAAATCATCCCATCATTTGTAGAATTACCAGTCCTACTGACTGACTACTTCAGTGTTTCACCTCTGGAGTTGTGCACGTCTTTAAGGGCTCTTCAGAGATGACACTGAGTTTCTGCATGTACCCCATCACCAGTTCACCTCCTGGACGTGCACTCACTCTGTCGGTGTCCTTGTGTGTATGTGTTTGTGTGGGAATGTAGACACAAGCTCGCACTCAGAATAGAAACTGCAGGGGGCGCTAGGCTTTAGGTTTCACGTCACCAGCTGCTGTGGTTCTGAGCTTGGCCTTTAGCAGCAGCAGCAGCACAGTGACCATTAGTGCCATTTTCTCCCTTCGTTGAGAGAGCATTCTTCAGACCGTCTGCGGGCGTGTCCGCCTCTTCTTCTGAGCTGCTCTCAATGTCGCTGCGCACGTCATTGACCACCTGGTAAACAAGAAATAAAAAAAAAAAACTTTAACTTGTATTGTTAATCATTGTGTAAACACGACATAATCATTTACCTAAACAAACTCAAAAATCAAAACATCAAGGTTAAATTACAGCTGTGTTCATTGGAGCGTAGGAACATTTAACTGGTAAAAACAAAAACTTGGGAAAACCATATAGGAAGACCAGGGATCGAACCAGGAAACCAGTTACACAGTTGCTGTGAGGCAAGCCAGCTACCCACTTGTTCCACTGTGTGCTCCCTCTTAAACGTCGTTGACATGCGAGTTGTATAGAGTGTGTATTCTCACCACAGGGTGGTGCTGTGGGGACGACCGCGGCTCTTCTGACTAATGAGAACCAGTTGGACATGCCTGATCTCACTACATTGACATTAACATTCATGCATTTAGCAGAAGTTTTATTCATACAAGGTCAGAATTAACAGTCAATCATGTGGTTCCTCTGGGAATCGAACCCAGGAGGCAGGCATGCTAACCGCTACACTATGGAACACATACTCATCATTTAAAACGACGCCTACACAGTTAGCCGGAGGTCAAAGCTAAGCAGCTACTTCATGATTCCAAATGAATAATATTAGATTAGACAAAGAGAGAGAGAGAGAGAGAGAGAGAGAGAGAACAAAAACTTACAGCCACACACACAGAAGTGGAAGAGAGTGAGAGCGGAGTGGAGGAGAGATCAGTGGACAAAGACAGACAGAAAGTCTCTCATTCCAGAGGGAGAGGAAACACACAGCGTCTGCAGAGAGAGGACACAGAGTCAGGGACGGACAGAGGAAAGGACGCACAGTCAGACAGTGATTATATTTAGATCCCGTAAACTGGATTGTCCACAGACTATTTCACAAATTAAAAGCTCAACACAGACTACTGTGGACTGGCAGGCATACACACTCCACAAGCTTTGTTCATGAAACTAAACATAACAACTTCTCTTCTAAATCATTCCTTTGTTCATCTCCTACTGCGTAATCATTTTCAGGGTCGTGCACACTTCTGTAAATATTTGAAAGTTATTTTCAGGGTGAGAATTTGGAAATTCCTTTTTTTTTTCTATGAAAAGTGTAACAGAAAGTGACTATTTGTTAGTTCATTTACTACTTTACAGTACGTGGACACACTTCATATACAGCAGAACTGCACCGCAGCACTTGTTCTCATCAACTGAAGAGAAGTGAAACTCACAGGTGCTGTTACACCGTAGCTGACAATATGCCAATATTTATAACCAGAATTTATGAAAAAATCCATAACTATAAAAAAAGCCACTACACAATAACCAATAACCTACAAAATAACCAGTGATGTGATTTCTATCGACCTGCGTTACTCCGTGTGACCCACCTTGCCACGCTGCATGGCTTTGACAGCTATGCCGGCGATGAGGTAGGACCAGATGATGTGTAGCACCTGAAGGACCAGCAGTAAGATGTTGAAGACCCACCAGGACGGGAAGGGTCCAATTATGGCCCAGCTCTCAAAAAAGGTGGAGTTAATGACCCTGGAAAACAAGAAGAAGTTAAACACCTTGAAGATATTTACTTTTCTTTTACAGGGAGCAACAGGAACATTAGGAGAAATGTTTTCTTAGCTTAGCTTAGCTTAGCTCTTAGCTAACGTTCTGTAACAATAAAGCCTTCTTTCTTGTTTGCTGTCTCACTTTTATCAATTTAAAACAATGGTCTTAAACCCCTGGCCCGGGGACCTATATACATTATACGGAAATGACCCCCCCCCCCCCCCCGGCTCATTTGATTCACTATTAACTTAGTGATGTCATCGGTAGTTGAGATCAAAAGCATCACGCTCTCTCACATTCAGAATACTTCATTCACATCGTTAACCCACTCACTTTCTAATGAAACTCCATCAACAAACCACAGAGCTGGTAGACATGTAGGCACTAATGCACTGTTGGCTGCAGAACCAGCTGAGGCCCCCTCCACCCCCCGCCCCCAGCACAGGTATGGATTTCAGTTTAGGTGACTGCACCGGCAGCAGTAGCATTATCACTCATCCGCACTAAGACACTGAATATAGCTGCTCAGGTTACGTTTGGCAATGACGGCCTTCCTGTTGTCCGTTTCTCAAGACGCAGCTTCGACGTACAGTTCTCCTGACAGGAATGTTTACCGCCTGATCGTGTTCTTTCAATCTGCAGCCGTTAGGGCGATAAAGATCAATTGAATAGTCAGTGTACAAAGCCTAATCGGGTTCACAAGCCGGTGGCAGCTGCGTCACATGATAGTTATTTCTCAAGATAAGATCACACATTTTTAGTCTCGGGTCACGTGTCATACACTGGAGGAGCGGAGCGTGTGTCTTCATCAATGGCACCACAGGAAGTGGCAGTGAATGATGTTTGGTGGTTGACTATAGAGAAACTGCTGAATCAATAGGTAAATGTATATAAATGAATGTAATATGTATTAAAGTAAAAAAGTATTTTATGGTAACTGCAAACCAGCTGAAGACGGACCACGTTATCATCATTAACAACATGTGACAGGCAGTAAATCCTTGCAGGGATTATTAATGGTAACTGTCATGATTCACACGGGTGTTGCAGACTCCACGGTGAACTCACCATATCGGATAAATAACAAGTCGCGTGATGAAGAAAACAATGGTAAACATGATGAAGAGGAAGTCACACAGACGCTGATATTTGGCGTACTTGGCCAGTTTAGCTGCCTGTTGAAAAAGACAAAATACAACAGCTATTACATCACATTAACTCGTACACCTTAGCACTGGGTGTAGTCCCTCAAATTAACCTGAACGTCACCCAGCCCTTCTCGACCAAACCCTGGGCTTGTCCCTGGCACTCAGAGGACACAGGCTGTGACGATTAGGTGTCTTGTCCACTGACCCATTGCCACAGAGACAAGCAGAGCAGGGACACCTGACCTTGCTGCAAGGTGATCCACCCGACCCACTGAACCACACACGCCCACAGGCTTAAAATGACGAAGTCCTCGTGAATAAATCAGCTGATCGTCACGAAAAAGTTCTTAGTCACTAAACTAAGTTAATTACTAATTATATCTTTTTAAGAATCGGGCTTTTGACCAGATTTGTTTTGCCCTTTATGTCAACATCACCGACTTGGCCTCATGGACTTGAACCTTCAATCTTTCTAATTATTATTTCTAATCTAAATATATGTATAAATAAGTGGTAGGATGGAATTAGAAATTTAATTAAAGTCAATATTATAAATTTAATGTGACTGAATTGCAATATCTAAAATAAAACGTTTTTCAAAGGGCTTTCAGTACAAATTCATTTCGGTTGAAGATATAGACATATACACGTGAAGTTAAATAACACATTTCATTTTAATTTGTCATTTGTATTTATCTGTGCATTTTTCATCATCTTCCAAAAATGAATGCACTGGGCTGTAATCATGGTTGTAATTAATCACAATTAATCATGATTAATTGAGAGGGACATACACAAATACACACATATACAAATATACCTAAACATGCAGTATCTTAATACACATATTATATATACACATATACATACATTTAACATACATTACTGTATGTGGAGTTAATATTTAACTGACCTCCAACAGGGAGTCGGACGCATCGTGGACACACAACACCAGACTCCCTACTCTGGCCATGTTGTTCACGTAGGAGAAGCTGATGAGGCTGACTGTGGCCAAGTGATGGATGAACATGATCAGGAAATCCTGCAATAAAAAAAAAAAACAGGTGATCAGCGTGAGAAGTGAATATTCTTTATTGAATTCATTGTGTGTTGTTCTGTTGTCCACTTGAAGACAGAGAGGACAAGGAGAACAACACTGCCTCCACTTTGATCAGATTTTTTGACAAGTTGCCAAATGAACATTTCTGCCACATGACCAACTGTGATTTCCTCACTGCAGCCGCTCTGGTTCATGAATGAAAGCCTGTTCCCAGAGACGACTTCTTCTTTTGACCTGATGAGGAACTAACTCAGTGGCATCACTTTCTACAATTCTCTATCACTTTTGCCAGCAGTTTGTCCTGTGTGGTGGAAGCTAACAGGGAAGGCCTGTGCTGCTATATTCTAATGTTGGTCATCATGGTGGTACTCAGAGAGATCAATGTTTTCTCAGGTGCTACAGAGTAGAAAAAGTTTGAGAACCACTGGACTAGATTATTTAGGCGGCTGACATAATTATCTCAGCACGGAGAGTCGCAAATATTTGTCAAAGTATGTCAAATTAAACATATATAATGTTTAATTTCAGGTTATTTAATAAATTGATTTAAATTGATTTGGGGAAAACCCCTTGGTGGTTTGAGCTGTAGCATGAATGCAGAAACAGTTAAAAAGCAGTCTTGTTTGAGGTCATAACATTTGTTTCGGTTTCATAATGACTTAATAAAGAAAGAAAACTACTACCATTTCACCTTAATGTGGAATTTTACAACACTTGAATTTCTGTGCATATAATAGCACAGAGTCTGTTAATTTACTTTTTTTTCAGGTTATTATCTTTTATACCAGAAACTCTTTTTATTCCACAGTCTAATGAGCCTGAGTTTAAGGGAACACAGAGCAGAACAGATGAAGACAAACAGGAGCAAAGGTTAAGACGGAGACATGCGCGTCTGACCATCAGACCATCTGGTGTGACAGCGGCAGAAAACAAGAGTGGACGTGAAGAGGTCTGCAGGTCACATGGTCAACAATACACTTGGTCGTCAGCTAAATTAGATGTAATGTTGTTTTGTTTTGTTTTTTCCAGAGTTTAAGTTGTCAGTTTTGTCAATAACACTAAATAGTAAAGCTGACTTTCTAACAACATCACATCTACGTAAAACTGCATCATAATTCTGAGCAACACTGTATATCTGCTGGCACCAACTTAAACCAAGTGTTTACTCTGTGACTAAACTCAGGCAGGCCACTAGCGCCACTTTGAGGGCTGCAAAAAAATGTTTCAGTTTTGACCATGTGGGCCAAGGTTATCAACTAAAGACACCAGAGATACAGTATGTTATCCATGAGAAAATCAGTTACTATGCAGCTTTCGACCACATGGTGGTCAGTTCATTAACAAGCTCCATTATATAAAGAAGACGATCTCCTCTACACTAGCAAAAAATATGTTACTTAGGTACAATCCCGACATCAATTCTAATATTTAACGGAACCTGGGCCACTTTGTACTATAAAAATTGGGCCTAATGAGGACCCAGGTTGGTCTAATTTGAACACAGCAAAAACCCAACGCTTGGTTTCTCTCACCTTCCTCTTAATGTCGGTGAACTGAGAGAACATGAGCGACCAGTAAAAGGCCAATTCTGTCACATAGTAGTGGTAAAGGCCCGGGGTCATGACCTGGGGAGTCAAAGAGGAAAGACAAATGTTAAGAAGGAAACAAAAGAAATGATCTCCACATGGCTGGTTCAGAACAGGGATCTCAAACTCGAACAGGGCGAGGGCCACCGATCCACGTCATCTCAACACAGGGCCTCATAATAATTGAGTTGTAAAACAATTAAAAGATTTTTTGTTGTTTTGTTTATTATAATAAAAACTGTACACACAATTCAAACAGAAAGTCCAAACATTTTTAAATTTTTTTTTTATGACGATGATCTTTAAAAATGTGGATAAAGGTGCACAAACCTAGGCTACATCGGACACAAACTCATCTCATTTGTCATCGCAATCTGGGCCAGTGTCAGTCATTCTTGAAACCGCCTGTGCTTGTCGGTTTCTTTGGGTTCGATTCCCAAAGGAATCACATGTTTGGCACCTGCCAGGGGCAGCCTGTTATCTGCTGTTAACACAAGAATTTCCCAAATATGGGATCAATAAAGTTCAAATTATTAATTATAATTATTATCAACTTGTCTTTGGTGAATATAAATAATTATTATTTAATAATGACACCCAGCTGTGGGTTAGATCTAAGTTAGCGGGCGTGATGCCAGTAGTTTGAAACCCATGGTTTGGAAATTTATACATATAAGAATGCTACAGCTAGCTTTTTTAGCTATTATTTCTATTATATATATTATACTAAATATTATATTTTGGACCTGAAAAACACATTTCCGTTATCCTGAGTTAAACTAATCGTGCATGTTTTCAGACAGTGGGATGAAACAGGAGTAGCTGAAGAAAACCCAGACGCTCACACAGAAACAACATGGAAACTCCCATACAGAAAGACAGGGAATCAAACCAACAAACCAATGGCTTTCTGGCTGTAAGGCAGGTGCACTGACCACTGCTGTGGCAGCTGTGTATACTTAATAACTACGCAGAGAAGTTGGATACAGGAAGTCCTACAAGGGAAATGTTATTTCCAGAACGTACTGGATAATAATCCAGCAGAGTCCAGAGATCTGAGTTAAAGTGACAGTACACCAGGGTGGCGTTATCAACGACAGACAGAAGGTAAACAAGCAGCACCTGTGAGGGTGGTGATGTCGACTGAGTCTACATAAACGCCACATAGAATGTTTACAGAGAACATTCCAGGAGAACGGCTGTTTGGAAAGGCACTGTTCATGAACATGGAGCGCAATTCTTCTGAGACAGAGGAGAGAACTGGTTCATACCTGATAAGGGTAACCATACCAGCAATGCCGTGTATCCCAGAACCAGGGGGACTGAAAATAAACATGCGTTAGATGAGGATAACATGTTTAGAAAATCAATCATAAAAATGAACGGTAGTTGGAGTCAGAGACGGTGTTCACCTGCCAAAGGAAACGGATCCCATAGATAAATATGCCCAAGTAAAATGTAAACCTCCACCTAAAAGACAACATTTCAACAAATTTCACATTTTCACGCAAAACAAACATCACAGTGAACTGGTGACTGACGTCTTCAAAGTATTTTCAGAGTAGTTTCAAAGTGTCTAAATCCTATTCTGTGACATGCAGCACTGCAAACACGGGACTCACATGCTTTCGCAGAACTTAGTGTGTGTACTGGGTTTGTCCTGGTTCCTCCGGTGTCTGAACCAGCGCTGGACTTTTCTCACCTCCCAGTCCAGCTGCTTGGACAGGCCGTCCAGGTGACGGGTGTCTGGACACTGTGCAGGGGGGGAAAAAGATCGAGACGTCAATGATATTTTTATAGGTAAAAATGTCCATAGCCAACATCTGTGATTATCAACTGTTGGCTCGCAGGCCAAATTCGGCCCACTAAACCACCAAATCTGGCCCGCAACTGGAATACAAAATTATATATCATGTGGTCCACGTTATTAAAGCAACTAAAAAAAGAGTTAAAACTATAAGTATCATAAATATTAAATAATAAAGTTACACCAAAATGTGATTTTTGTTTTAAGGTGTCTGTCTAGAAGTGACCTCTGCCCTCCGTGCAACACTACATT